ACCCAAGACATAAAAAGGAAAACTTAGTGTAACCTCTTTGTTGATCAAAAAATATTTTTTACCATTTATAAATTTACACACATTTGCCATTTATTTTCATTGCATTTTACTTTATTTAAAACAAATGAGATGCCACAATATTATTTTTTTCCTTTGTACAGTAAATAATTGATAACCCAGAAAATTTATTTCCGTTTCCATGTAAAAGAATGTGTTTTAGACTATGTTCCAAATTGTAAATGAATAAGCTTCAATTACATGGTTCGTTTTATTTTTTAAATTTATTTTTATCAACAAGTTTTTACCTAAACAAAAAGCAATGTTGTCTTCTTTGGAAAGATAACTCAGTTAATATTTTTTTTCTGTGATATTTGTAACATGGAACTAAACTTAAAAAAGTGCAACGATCAAATCTTACCCCAGGAAAATTAAAGTAGTTTAACTTTAAGTCCTTATATTATAGTCCTTTAATGTGTGGAAACTGCTTTCAATATATACAAAGAGATATTAAGCATGCCTCCAATAGAATATCAATTGCTAAAAACATAAAGAAAATAATCAGGTCAAAAAGGTTTTGAAAAAAATTATTGATAAAAAAAACAGTTTTTTTCTTTTTAATTTTTTTATTTAGGTGCCCCAAAAAGACCTAACGGTCTTGTCACAGAGCACCGCGGAAGTGCATTTAACAAGAAGTTCACGCCTTCTTCCTTACCGTGACGTGAAAATATGTCTAGAACTCGTTTCGAACCTGGATTAAGGTTAAGGTTAAACTATCAATAAGTGGAATATTATCGTATACACCTAGGAGAGAATATCTCTAAAAAAGATCATTTCAGACACAGTATTCAATATTAGGAGAATGCATAATCTGTCTAAATGTATAATTAAAAGTATGTTATAGTAATGAATATCTATGAAATAAATAAAAAATAAATAAGTATGAAATAAGTAAAAAAAATGTTGGTCGACCAAATTTTTAAAGTAATGTGGAGATTGATGTGAATAGAAAGTCCTATTTACTAGATCAGTAAGGTGCTAACCATATTGAAGTTTAAAAATATATAGTACATATAGAAGATATACCTTTGATTGTTTACAAATTTAGCAAACAAAGAAATATTTTTTAAAAGAAGAAACTATGAGAATCGGCATCAATGGAAGCCTAGTGTTGATTAGGGTTGTTATGAACCTTTTTCACTTAGCAAAGCTTAACAATCAATTAAGGAACCAAAAAGACTTAGGTGCGAATAGCAATTTCACTGGATATTGTCCGACTTATTGTAGTAAGCAGATACAAATTAGCTCAATTTTGTTTTGAAGAGATATTTTGGAATGACATAAGATTTTATACTTGTAAATTGCTTTCACTGACAATAAATACTATGTTAAAGAATGATTCATCATCAAAATGTCATTCAAATTGAAGTGCTATATCATTAAATACCACTTAAATAATTATTTGATTTGTCATCAGATTTCTCTTGGTGTGAACAAACCATAGAAACTGTTCACAAGAACATTATTTCTCATTGAATAAAGCTGAAAGTAATCCTTCTCATGGAATAAAGCTGAAAGTAATCCTTCTCATTGAATAAAGCTGAAAGTAAGTTAAGAAGAATGGCCTAAACATACAGCTCAATGAGAATCTAAAAACTATGAATCGGATAATAATTGATTAACATAAAAAATTGGTAAATATGTGAGTTACTTTTTAAGTAAACTGCAATAGTTTACTTAAAAAATTCCATCTAACTTCTTATTTTTTATTTTTATATATCAATATCAATATATATATACATATATATATATATATATATATATATATATATATAATATATATATATATATATATATATATATATATATATATATATATATATATATATATATATATATATATATATATACATTGAATTTAAATTTTAAACTAGATCAGGAAATTTATCAAAAGTTTTAGATTAATTGAAAGACTTGTATTTCCTCTTTCCTATTTTAAAGAGATGTCCTACTGTATTTACTTTGTATATATATCTATATATATTTTTTTATATTTGCGCTTTTATAAGTTCTGACGATAAGATACAACTTTTTTATTATATATAACATTAGTGGTTTGATTTATACTTTTAATTTAAATCACGATTTGTTGTAACTTTTTAGTCTTGTTTTTGAATTGATGTAAAAAAACTTGTAAAAGGTTCTCATGATAAGATCATTATGATCATCTTTTAGTTTATTTGTTTTTGTAAGCAACAAAAACGAAAATATAAACAAAAAACAAACAAAAAAAAAACAAAAAAAAAAAAACAAAGTGCCTGGAGTTTTTTTTTACAAAGTTATCAGATAATAAAAACGAAACCGCTCCTAAATCAAGCGTTTGCGAACTTTTTTTTAAACGGTGATAAACTTTATATAATATATTAAAAAGACAAATACGTGGTTGTTATAAAAAGTATTTAAATTTATCATCAATAGATAGAATAAAACTTTTAAGTTTACTTTAAAAAATTAGGTATAACAATTTTATTCCAAAGATATGGTGCTCGAAATGTAATGCAACATTTGTTAAAATTTATTCTGCAAATTGGTTCATATACAATACTTTTATTTATAAATAAATATTTATTAATTGGGTTAAGAGAAAAAAGGTCTATAAAGATAAGTAAAGTTAAATCGTTTTTCCACATGTAAATAAAGCATAAAGTGTTATAAACATTGAGCTCGTAAATATTAAGTATTTTCGTCTCCATAAATAATGGTTTGGAATGAGTAAAACGATCCGCAAAATTAATCAATCGGATTGTATGCTTCTGACGACGATAAAAGCATTGCAACTTACTTTTTTCGGTGCTTCCCCAAGCTATGTTGGTATAATTTATACACATGTGAATAAATGAGTAACAAAGTTAGGTTAAGGCTTTTTTGTTTAAATATGATCTGTTTTTTTTTTTTTTTTTTTTTTTTTTCAGTTTACAATTATTAATCGTAATATAACAATATAACAATATATAAACTTGGTATCTGAAAGAAGATCCAAATGATCTTGTCGCCAGAACCATATAAAATATATCATACGTGTATATATAATAAAATAGAAATACAATTGATCAAATAACTATTAACAATGTAGAAGAAACAAAAACTGAAAATAATTTTACAAATTATCAAGAGTGAAAAAAAGAATTTTACATTTCAAAAATATTTATATATATTGCCAGTAGAAAGAATATAGTTATATAATTTAGTTTTAAAAACGGAAAACGAAATTGACAAATCAAAATTTGGAACAACAATTTTTTTTCATAAATACGGTGCTCTATAGTTTATGCAAAATTGATTAAACTTTGTTTTACAAAAGGGTTCAATTAATAAATTATTATTTCGTAAAGCATATTTGTTTATAGCTTTATAAGTAAAAAGATCTTTGAAATTGGAAAATGGTCGTTCACTTTTACAACAAAACATAAAACATAAAATATTATTGACATTGAGTTCGTAAACGTTAAGTGCTTTAACGTTTTTAAATAAAATATTTGAATGAGAAAAACGATTTTCGAAACTTATTAAACGCATTGCGTGTTTCTGACGATGGTAAAGATTTCGTAACTTACTTTTAGAGGTACTTCCCCAAATAATATTTGCATAATTTATATAGCTATGAATTAATGAGTAGTAGAGTTGAATTAAATTTTGTTTACTTAGATAGTATCTGACCTTATATAAAATTCCAATACTTTTAGCCAATTTAGTAGAAATATAGTTAATATGATACTTCCATGTAATATTTTCATCAATGTAAATGCCTAAAAATCTTGTGACCGACTCCTTTTTTATTTCAATTTTATCAATAAAAAGTTTAGGCAATTTATTTGGTAAAAAACGCTTTTTTGCAAGAGAGTGGAAAAGGATCCACTTTGTTTTGTCAATGTTTAAAGTTAACTTGTTGCACTTAAACCAGTTGGAGATCTGATTGAGTTCTTTATTCATATTTGAAAAAAGCTCATAAATGCCATTGTTTGACAGAAATAAATTAGTATCGTCCACAAAAATTATACTCATAAGGTTAGAAGCTTTATTTAAATCATTTATATAAACTAAAAACAAAAGTGGGCCTAGAATAGAACCCTGTGGAACACCACATTTTATGTCAATTAATTTTTCATTTTGAAAATAATCTCCATAGAAAACAAATTGTTTTCTATTTTCCAAGTAACTTTTATACCATTTTATTAATTTGCCATTAATTCCGTAAAATTTGAGTTTTTTAAGTAGAATTTTGTGATCGACCGTGTCGAATGCTTTTGATAGGTCAATGAAAATACCTAATGTATATTGTGATCTACCAAATGAATCGGAGATTTCACGAATGAACTGTGTAATGGCTTGTTCAGTTGAACAATTTTTTTTAAAACCGAATTGATTTTTATATAGAAGTTTATTTAGATTAAGGTAATTGTATGTTCTATTGTATATAATTCTTTCTAAAATTTTTGAGAAAGTTGAAAGAACTGAGATAGGGCGATAATTACTAATATTTGATTTTTTTCCGTTTTTGTATATAGGAGTTACTATACGATTATATATAGAGATAATATAGGATTTACATGACTCCATTACTTTTAGATATTTTCAAACATATATAGTCAATATGCGGTTTCCATGTAATGTTCATGTCAAAAACCACTCTTAAAAATTTAGTAACAAAATCTCTTTTTATTTCGACTTCATCAATAAATATTTTAGGCAAATTTTGTGGACTTTAAAACCTAAACTGTTTATCTGTGAGCAATTAATGATAAAAATCAAAATTTTTTAATGGTAGATTCGAAAATATGCCATACCAAATAATGTCAAATACAAATTTTCACGTTATTTCTATAGCTTTTTACTTTACTTTTTACTTGAAAAATCTCTTTTATATCATGGTTACGTACGAGAGCTTTTCTTGGAAAATATCGTCTCATTTGGACCGAGAACCAAGACGAAAAAAAAAACCGTTCTGAAATTTTGAAAGTATTTCATATATAAAAAACATTTATACAAAATACTAACGATCTTAAATGCAAGCAACAAAATATTTAATAACTCTTTATAATGCAGAACGGTAATATTACTTAATATCGACGCAATATTTCTTTTAAACTATTCTCGTACTCCCACACAACAAATACGCTTCTCTAGAATGCGTATCTGCGAGGTAAATATTAAATAGAAAATTTTTATCCAATATTTACCGCATAATCATAAAAACACTTTATAAGTTTCATAAAAAGTGTTATATATTTATAAAAAATCGACGGATCTTTTGTTTTATAAAGATCTGTCATTTTTGATACAAAGTTATTTTAGAACATGCAAAATTTATAAAAAGAAAACCCAACTTTTAGATTTTGACAAAGCAACAACGCAGTGATACTATTTCAAATGGCGACAAAGTTAATTCGATGGTCTTTTGATCAACTAGTTTGCAGCTATCAGAGACTTCTACATAATCTTCTAAAATATTGCACCTAAAAAGTGTTTAGAAAACATTTAAATATATAAAACATTTAAATTACTAAAATAAAATATATTAAAAAAAAAATCATAACCAAATAAATATAAAACTGCCATAATAATTTTTGATATTATTTTTCGTTTACTTAATATTTACTTATTGCATATTTATTTTATACTTATAGCAATTTTATTTATAACAATATGTTACAAACGTTTTAAAATTTGTTTACGAAACAAAAAACTATTAGCAGCAGAAATCTTATTCAAAAAAATATTAAAAAAGAAAAAAGTATAGGTGTTTATAAACAATTAAAAAAAGTTAAGAGATAATTAACCATAAGGGCAAGTTGGGCAAATAAAGTTTTGAAAATATATTTCTGATTCCTAAAGAACTTTTTGGAAAAAAAAAGGTAACTTTAACGAGTTATTTAACTTTTATTTTTAATAAAATAGATTGCAATTTTATTTGAATATTTATAAAATAATTCCATCCTTCTTATTTTATTTGTTGTTTCTAATTAATAATTTAATAAGAAATGTTGATGTTGGATTGTCGTTAATGTTGGATTGTCGTTGATGTTGGATTATCGTTGATGTTGGATTGCCGTTGAAATTGGATTGTCGTTGATGTTGGATTGTTGTTGATGTTGGATTGCTTTTGATGTTGATGTTGGATTGTTATTGTTGATGTTAAATTGTTGTTGTTGTTGCTGTTGTTGTTGATGTTGGATTGTTGTTGTTGTTGTTGAAGATAGAACATAATTGATGTACACATTTTAGTAGAATATTTATATTTTCAAAAAAAAAACAAAAAAAAAGTTAGTGACTTTTATCATGCGTGTAATGTGTGTCATGTAGGTAATGTATTTTGTCATGTTTGTAACTTATTTTGTCATGTGTGTAATGTATTTTGTCATGTGTGTAATTTAGGTGGTAAACATCAAGGAACAACAAAGACTCCAATGATGTGAAAAAAACTTTACCATCGTGATAATAACTTTAAAATAAACGTATACAAAAAATTAATTTATGTATATATTTTTAATATTCAATTATCTATCAAAAATTTGATCATTGAACTGAAACTTTGAAATCAAGTATAACAGGTTTTACACATTTTATTACAGCTAAGGAACGTCTTTAATAATATTTAAAAAAGCTATATTGAACACATAGCTAATATAATGTTTGTTATTATATTGAAAAGTAATGTTAAAAAAAAAACTTAGTTATTTAACCTGCATATGCTTGACAAAGGGTAGTAGGACTTGACTTGTGCTTTTTCTTTTCCTCCAAAAGATTCATAAAAACGTAAAATAACATCTCCTGATTGGTCTTCAGACTAAAATGCAATTTAATTTATAAACAATGCACTAACCAGCGGACACAGTACGTCCATTAGACGCCTTACGGACATCTTAGGGATGTGAGACGTTCATTGGACGTGGTAAGGACGCATTTTGGACGTCTGTGACTGCTGGGTAATTATAACAGAAATCATTAGAGTATATCATACTAATGCATGTTTTACTTTTTATTTAGTATGCCACTTTTCCCACGTATTCAATAAATAGTATATATTATTTTTGGTGAAAAACAACTTTTACTACCGGGGAAATGTTTTTCATTTCCGAAAATACTGTTTATAAACATAATAAATAAAATATTGTTTAATCCTTTAAAGCTTCTTGTTCAATTCTATGCGTTAGTATAAAATGTTTTTAGTTTTTTTATAATACTATTTTTTATATAAGTAATGGTTAATATTCAAATATACCTTACAAATATAATAATTATTATTATATAGTTAATTTCAAATTATTTACTATTATTCTTGCATTTTTATCTTTCAGACTCATAATATATTCATAAAAGAAAAATGACATTTTTAGTCTGTAAGAAAATTAGAAAACCAATTAAGACTAACTTAAGCAAGTATTTTATGGTTATGGTTTTGTGTAACTTAATTATGCAAGGCTGTGGCTTTGTGTGACTTAATTAACTAACTAATTTAGAGGTCATGAAAAGTTCCTCTAAACTGAATTTTTAACATTCGCGAATGTTTGAAATGTCTCAATCTGCATCAAAACAAAAAGTTTATAAAAAAGTCTGCATAATTTATCAATGCAAGAAACATTTCTGTTGCTCATGAAATTGCAGAATGATGGTATATTTCAGACACACAAGTTAAAGAATAACTAGATTTAAAGTTCTAAAACTGAATAACTAAAAATCAGGAGAAGTTGGTCTGCATTTTCTAAGATAGCTTGACACAAATCTCAAAAGAATTCACTGCAGTAAACTGCTTTTTGCAAATCATTTACTGCAGTGAGGATGATGCCTCTTGCAAAATCCTTTGATGATCATACTCATTGTCTAAGCAAACGTGATTTAAATTTAAGAGTTCCACAAAAAAAGTTCATAAGGATAAAAATCCAGTGTTTAATCTATGCAAGAATTTGATCTAGATGTTAAAAAGACTGCTAAACTTGGATTCAAAAACTAATGCAACAAAGTATAACTCAATTGATAACAAGAAGCTTCAAAAGCTAAACTAGAGTCATTGGTAAAATTTTATCTATTCACTTTTAGATTTGATATTATGAAGGCAGCAAAACTTGAAGATAAAAAAAATAGGTAAAGCATAAAAGTTTTTTATTCCAAAGAGTGTGCTGAATTATTCGAGATAAGTGGAAAAATTAACTAAGTTCACCCAAGGGTTTAAAAGTGAGTTAAAATATATAATTATTTTTTAATGGAAATGTCAAATCATAGTATTTAAAAAACTGCGCCAAAATATGTTCAAATGCATATTTTTCTTCTTGTGATTGTAAAATAAGGTTCCAATCATTTTTTTCTGATAAAAGATTTCGAAAGTACAACAAAAAGTTTTCATTGATCTGTCGCATTAAAATTGTAGAGTTTAAAATGATTAGGGGTTACCTGTTACTAAGAATATTGAGAAATTATCTTTTATGGAAACTTAAAAAAAAAATTTAACAATAATTCAATGTAGAGTATGATCACACACATCTTTTGGAAGAGTTTTATAGTAAAATTTATTAGTTTTTTATTAGTAAAATTTATTAGTTTTATAGTAAAATTTATTAGTTTTTAATTCGGAAAATGTAACTTTGATTGAAAATTTTTTCTAATTTTTTATAATATTAATTTATTTTAAATTGTTATTATGACTATGATCTTATAAAGAGTTTATTTTTTTATAATTAAAAAAATTTATTTTCATAGATATAACTCTATTAATAGTTTTTTTGCTTGAAGCAATATAGCTCTTGCAATGTCTTAGTTTATATTTATAAGTTTTTTTTTGCGAAAAATAATAGTTTAGAAAAATAAAATTTTATCTAAGTTACATCAGCTTTATAAAATTAACAGATTGTGCAAACCAAAAAAGTGAAAACAGAAATTTCCTTATAATTTAGAAAGAATTTTGATAAAAAAAATTATTTCAATTAAAAATGTTCTTTTTTCTCGGTTTTTATTCCTCATTTTCTATTTTTTACAAAAAAATTAAATTCCTTGTAACTATGTTATAACTTATAACACTGCATCAAAAATTTTGATAAAATAAACAAATATAAAAATCAACAGAGTAATAAAAAACTTTTCAATAGTTAATAATTTTTATATTTATGTTAAACCTTGACACCTTATCTAAACAAACTAGTGGGTTCGTTTTTATTTTCTTTTTTTTTTAATTTTTCTGTTAATTAAAATTGAGTTGATAATGCCGCCAGGTGGCAAAGTAACTTTCTGCCAAAAGGCCAATTTTTTAGGGAGGCGGTAGCTGTAAGCGGCGGCCTCTCGTTCAATTTTTAGCTGCAAAATGTTCTTTCTTCCGCCTCCAGTAGCTTCTGCTCTTCTATTGGTGGTCGCAGCCAGAGTTATTTTTTAAAGGCAAAATGTTTTGGAGGCCAACGCCATTAGGGAAGCGGAAGCTATTGGTTGCTGCCCCAAAAAAAAATTGTGGAGACAAAATCATTTGGAGGCTGCTTCTAATGGCTTCTGTCTCCTAACTGGCTGTGGCCGCCAAATTGGAGTCGGGAATGTTTGCCTCCCGCCGGCGGATAAAATAAAAAATAACTGCTTGTTTGCTTTAATGCAATTAAATATTAACTAGAAACAAATGTTAAATATTTGACATCAAATTTCATTTTATATGATTATGTGCAGTATTTAAAAAAGTTCTCATTTTTTTAAAAAAGAAAAAAAAAGTTAAAAGTTGGAAATTTTACTTCTATGCCATTGGCGAATAAATCTTTTTGACTGAAAAAAAAAGTTGACTGATTTTGGTAAAAGTTTTTTAGAACAAGTCGACATGCTAAGATTAGGTTAAATACTAATGTTAAATATTTATTTTTAATAATTGAATATTGTAAAAGTTATTGAAAAAATAACTGCGAGTGTTTATAAAAAATTTGCGATTATGCTGTATTATGCTAATAGTTTTGCCAAATTACAACCAAAAAAAAAATAAAATTTATAAACTTTAAATATAAATACTTTTATAAATATTATTTATATTTTACTCTATAATTTTAAAACGTTTAAAAATATAGACTCATCTACTTTTACACGTTTTAAAGTTAAGCGATTAAAAACAAACATTTAAAAGTTAAAAATTTATTCAATAGTCCTAGACTGCTCTGACAAAATAATAATTTTTTTTTCAAAAAATTTTTTAAATAGTCAATAAAACATACAAAACAAAACTTTGATGTCAAATATTTAACATTTGTTCTCAGTTAATAATTTAATTGCTCGTTAACTTAAAGGCAAACATGCAAATTTTCATTACATCCGCTGCCTGGAGGCTATCTGACTGTGGCCATCAATAGAAAGGCAGATGCCATTGGGGGCGGAACATAAAAAATTTTGCCGCTAAAAATTAATTGGGAGACAGCCGCCGTCTGCTGCGGAGGAAAAGTATAAATACTTTTCTTTTTTAAAATTTGCTAAAATTGCTTGTGGGTTTGTATTTTTAAAAAAATTTGTTTCATACTAATATATCGTAACTCTTTGTTAAGACTAAAAAGTAGAAAATAAAATATAGCAAAAACATTTGCTAAAAGTATAATCTTTTTTGTACTAAAAAGTAGGAAATAAACTTTTTAATTTAAACTTAATAGTTCCGTAAACTAAAGATTGACAGGTCTGCGCAAGATTTATTTAGAAAATACCTGTCAATTTTTAGTTTACGGAACTACTAAATTTAAATTAAAAAGTTTATTTTCTACTTTTTAGTACAAAAAAGACTATACTTTTAGCAAATATTTTTGCTATATTTTATTACTACTGTATTTGTCGCTTGCTTGTTTTATTTTTCAGCTTTTTAAATTTATTAGTGTTTTATTAACTGCTTTTATTATAAGGGCATGGTGACTATTTGAATCATGGTTGTTTTTTTTGTTTTGTTTTTTTGTTGGGGGTCAGGGTAAGAGGTGATGGGGGTATTGAGACAATCCCTGCCTCTTTGTTAGACTTTTAACTCAAACATGACATGCCCTACTGATCATACTACTACTATAAGCATACTGGTTGTCACCATACCATACTGGTTGTCACCATACCGGAAAAGTAAAAAATAATCATACCATTTTTACAGTTTCTAGAACAATTCCAGGGTGATCAACTGAGAACAGAGATAAAGAAACAATCTCAGCTAAAAAAAACAATAAAAGTTATAGTACAATATGGTACAAGTTATGTATTCATTAAGTATAATCTGGGTACAACTAACATGAAAACATAAATAACAAAGAAGAATTAAAAAAATATATATAAATATTAATAAGATACTACTCAAAAGTAATTGTAACAAATTATATTTTTGCATAATACTTTAATCAAACTTTGTGCATATTTTACATGTAATTATAACAGATGCATCATGCATCATTTTTAACTATATATATATATATATATACATATATATATATATATATATATATATATATATATATATATATATATATATATATATATATATATATATATATATATATATATATATATATATATATATATATATATATATATATATATATATATTATTGTTTGCTATATTAAGACCTACTAAAAGATTTTAGATTTGGTTTTATTTTGATTCAAAGGAATAAATAAAGATGGAAGATAATTAATGGCAAAGGTTTGTATCTATCTTTAATTTGCTTCTATTTTGTCTTACTTCTTTGTAGTTTCTTTATCTTTATCTACTTTCTATTAGTTTTGTTAGTGTTTTTTTATTTTGGATTTCATTTATTTCTAATAAGAATTTTAAGACTTTTTCTTACTACTTACCTTTTACGATCTAAATACATTGTTTTTTATAGTATTTTTAAAGTAAAAAAAGTAATAAAACTAAAAGTATGAGCTTTAAAAAACATACCATAATTAGTATAGTTTTAACAATTAATAAATCTGAAGTTAATAAGATAAATTTATAAATCTAACATAGCATTATCAATCTAGCTCAATTTAACATTGTTTTTGTTGATTGACAAGTCCTTTTTTTAAAAATTTATATCTTATTACTTTTTTTCAAAACATTAAAAACAAAAAAAAAATTTCTGTCACATAACATAATATTGATTTTTAAACTTGTGAATTTTAATGTTTTTGTTAATAAAAAAAAAGAAATCAGGTTTTAGGAGAGATACCGAATGAGAGAACCGTGTACGTACTTGCTATCTTCAACAACCCCTTTCTTCCTTGTACACATTCGTTTTTGGGTAACCCTCTCCCCCATACCTGCGTACATACTTTATAAATTTATAAATTAAATATTTTTATATTAAAATTATATTGTATTTTCATTAAAAATGTATGATACAGAACTTTTTAAAGATTTGTTTAATTTTTTTATCTTTAGTGTTATTAAAACCTTCAACATTAGAATTAACTGTAGTATTAATATTTATAAATCTAATTAAAATATAAACATTTTTTTTTCATATTCTTCTTCTTCTTTTTTCTTCATTACATTAGCTGTTAGCTGCATCAGAAGATGCAGCTAATGTACAGCTACAACTGATTATTTTTTACATTTAAATAGAAACTTAACATCAACCTTTTAATCATTTGTTTTTTAATTTCTTTAGCTTTATTATTTAGTACAGTATGGTCTGGTTATCTTTTATATTTTAATCATAATGACTGATGTTCATAATCATAATGATTAATGTTCATAATCATAATATTCATAATCATAATGACTGATGTTCATAATCATAATGACTGATGTTCATAATTATAATGACTGATGTTCATAATCATAATGATTAATGTTCATAATCATAATGTTCATAATCATAATGACTGATGTTCATAATCATAATGACTGATGTTCATAATTATAATGACTGATGTTCATAATCATAATGATTAATGTTCATAATCATAATATTCATAATCATAATGACTGATGTTCATAATCATAATGATTGATGTTCATAATCATAATGATTAATGTTCATAATCATAATGTTCATAATCATAATGACTGATGTTCATAATCATAATGACTGATGTTCATAATCATAATGATTGATGTTCATAATCATAATGTTCATAATCATAATGACTGATGTTCATAATCATAATGATTAATGTTCATAATCATAATGTTCATAATCATAATGACTGATGTTCATAATCATAATGACTGATGTTCATAATCATAATGATTAATGTTCATAATCATAATGTTCATAATCATAATGACTGATGTTCATAATCATAATGATTGATGTTCATAATCATAATGTTCATAATTGTTCACATTGATGTTGAAAGTATGACTATAGTTAATATTTTTACATTTTTTCATAGTTTTGAATAAATATATATGTCATATAATGTGTTAAAAATTGTTATATGTAATGCATTAATATGTGTTATATAAGGTTGTATGTGTTTATAGTTTGTATATATGTTTATATTCTGTTGTTTGCAGGTTTTCAAAGTGGTGTAACTTGGTAATATATAGAGCAATATTGTTTAACTTGACAGCCAAGTGTATTTATAGTAAAGGTGTAACTATGCAGCATTTAGTGTTAAACAGTGTTACTGCTTTAGAGCAAGGTTGTGTTGTCTAGCTTTTTTTTTATTATTATTATTAAAACACATTATAATGTCTATTAATATTAAGCATAATGTATACTTACAAATATGTTTATATGTGTTATATATGTGTTTATATGTGTTATACAGTTATATGTGTTTATAGTTAATATGTATGTATATATTATGTTGTTTTCAAAGTGACGTGACTTATGTGTATACATAATGTTGTTTTTAAAGTGGTGTGGAAGCATATAATGTAATATGGTAGCTAAGTTGTGTTGTTTAGTCTTCTTTAATGTCTGTTATTACTTAATCTCTTATCTTGAATCTAATAACTTACTTTTTGATTATCAATATCCTTCCTTACCAATCCTAGTATAAAAGTTGTCCTTGATGGAGAGAACTCTTATTCATTTCCTGTAATTTAATTGTAAGTTTCCTCAAAGTTCTATACTTGGCTCTATACTTTTAACATTGAAAAGAATTTCACTTCTACTACAGCCTGAGGCACTTGGTGGCTGGTGAACATCAACTCAGAAAACTCAACTTTTTCAGCTGATTGCAATAATATAGATTTTCCTATATTTACTCGTTGAGTCATCTACCCTTTATCTCCTATAATTAACTCTTACTTCTGATCTTTCCAGGTAACCATTTATCAAATCCATTGCAAAATTAGCATGTGCTAAGTTTGCATCTCTTTATCATGCTTGCCATTTTCTTACTTCAGATTCTATTCTTCATCTCTATAAATCTCTAATCTATCCTTGTATGGAAAACAGCTATCATATCTGGAGCAGATCTTCAAATAATGCCCTTTCTCTTATAGACAAGGTTCAAAAATGCAATTGTAAACATAATCAGACCTGCACTTGTAGCTAACTTTCAACCATTGTCACACTGTCGTAGTGCTGCTTTTCTTTCTGTTTTCAATAAATACTATGAGTGCTGCTCTAAAGAACTAGCGTTTCTTGTGCCATCTGCTAAAATGAACTATGATGCAACTTGCCATTCAATTAAATCTCATCCTTTTACTATGACCCTTTAACTTTTACTTTTTCTTAAGTGCTCCGAAAGTTTTTATTTGCCTAGTTTTTATCCTCAAACATAAGTTGTTTGGAACTTACTCCAAAGTAGTTGCTTCCAGCTTTGTTTTAAAGATGTTAAAATTAGGGTCATGTGTACTTATAAATATGTGATGCGTTCTTTCAAATATCCTATGTACCATTGTTGTGTGTTATGATTGTAGCATTTTTGTTGTCATGTTTTGTGTTGATAGACAGCTTGGCTTCTTTACCTGCTGGTGTCTACTATTAAAAATGAATAATTGGTAGTTTCATTTATCAAGCTTACTGCTTCTAATAATTCAATGAAAGCCAAGAAAAAATATTTTGTTATAAATACAATCTGTTTTTATTTTAATTTGATTTTTTATCTTAAATTTAGTTCATATATTTTCTCTTAAAAACATTTTATAATTGGATTTTTAATAAATAACATTTTAAAACCATTACGATATTTTTAGCATTAATTGTTTACTAAAAGCCAACATGAAATAATTTGATTGAGCAAGACCATTAAGGACTGCTACATCATGACTGCAGATTCACTACAGATTATTAAAAACTCACTTATCTATTACAATTTTTATTTTAGATTTATCATAATATGTAATTGTGCGATATAGGATAACATAATTAACAATTATGTTTTGTTAATTTGTAAACTTTAGTTAATTTTTAAAAAACATATATTTAATTATAAATAAATTTGTTGTTTGTTAATAAACAGAAATGAAATAAATAGGAATTTCTAGTGTATTTGTAATCTTTGATAGAGAGACTTACCTTTATGTAATCAATCAACTTGCGCATTTAACAATTTTAGGAAATAAAAAAATTTCTTTCTTAAAGTAAATATAATATAAGGGGGAGAGGATCCCAAAATTTAATAGGCACTAAACATTAGATATTAACAGTATTATTAACTAAAATATTATTAAGTATTTAACATTAATCATTAACTCAAAGCCATTACGAAGTATTATTTTCTACTACTTACTAAAACCTGTTGAAACTGTTAGAAAAAAAAATATAACAGAATGGATCATTTAAGGTATCTTTTAAAAATTAAGGGTAATTGAACTTTCTGTTAAACTGTATAAAAGTGATGTAAAACAATTTTGCAGCAAACTATACTTTTGATGTGAATGATGTTTTATATTTGAAATTCAAAAGCAATTTTCTTAAAGAATTTTAGTCCATTTTTTCTGAAGTAAAGTTTTCTAATCATTAATTAAATCAGGAAAAATAACTTTAGGATTATGGGAAAGTCAAGGAAATGGAACATAAAGTTGGCAGATGCCCTCTATAAATGGTAGGTGTGGAACATACCGACCCGTATTATGGATTGCTAACTACTAGTTGATATTAAAAAGGATGGTTGTGATGATTCCAAGAAACAAGCTTTTTTGGATTTTCAGAATATAGCTACTGAGGTTAAGTACCCTTTACTAAAAAAGATTAGTATTAAATTTATTTAAACTTTTGGTTCCGCATACACACATGTACAACTTTATTTTCCACTATGTCCAATCAAAATATTTATATTTAACAAGTCAGCATTTATAAGAGTTACTTATAACAGCAACAAAATGTTTAAAAACAAATTTTGAGAAACTTAGCAGTAATGTTCAAAATCTCATATTAGTGCTAATTGAATTTTTGTTGTCTTATTACATATTTAGCTATTGTTGAAAAAACTATAATTTTTTAAGAATTCATGTCAAAAATTTTTAAAATGTCATTTCAGAAATTTAAAAAAATGTTATGTCAAAAATATATAATATTAAATATTTTAAAATACTTTTTTGCCCAACAATTTGCAAAGGATTGTTGAATTCATAAGCTCTATGAATAACATTTGCCTCTTGAAAAGAGCCTAAAACATTAACAATAATTATTAAAAAATATTAATAATAATTATTAAAAAATATAACTAAGATTATTCAAAAATAATTTCAATAAAAAATAAGTAAACATTAGTATTAAATTATTTTTACTCACCTAAGTGTGGCATAAATGCATAAGAAAACTCATGATGTCCCATATCAGCATTTTCATCTGGTGCTTTAGAAGATCGAAGACTAAAAAATTATTATATACTTGTATTTGTGTTTTTCAATGGTGTGTGTATGTGTGCGCCCATGTGTGTGCGTAGTAGTGCGCATCACCAAACTTTTTTTTTTTTACAGTTGAGGTATCTGGTAACTAAAGCTGTTTCATTGGTAACATTAAACTATATGTAAAAAAAAATGATTGAATATAATGTTTAGAGGTCCCTGAATCTAGACAAATTTTCCTTTTGGAAACCTTTAACCAATATTTTAATTATTTTCAGCATTGCTTATACCAATAATGAAACACAATTTATTATACAAATAAAATATAGTCTATGGTATGCTTTTGTGGCCTTGATTGTTTATATGATCTTCATTTGCAAGTTAAAAGGTCAGCATTACTTCTAGCCAGCTGCCAAACTGCAAGAAATTTGAAATGAGTCTACAAGTGCTTTTTGTATACTTTTGAGTTTTTTGTTTATAGTTGCAGCTAAACTAAACCTTATATTTTACACAGCTTTGAAGGCGTAAATGACTCAAACTTAGACCAAACTTGATAACCGGTTCCTCGATAACCAGTTATATTCAATTAATTATTTGCTATTCAACATCCAAATATTTTGTTTCAAATAACTAGTTATTTAATTTTTACTAATAGTATATTAATTATAAATTAGTTTTTTATTGTGTTAAGTTAATGAAATTATGTTGTTTTTGTTACTTCATCTGTACACTTTTAAATGTTGTTTTTTTCGACAAATTTTTGAATGTTTTTGTTTTAGTTGAGTCATGTTAATTTGAAAAAAAATCTTTTGGGTTTTGGATTTTATTCCGAAAGACTGTTTTAAGTGCATTTAAAACAAAGTATACTGTTGTAGGTTGGTCTTACTAGAAATAAAAATATGTTATTATAAATGGAGTGATTATTATAATAATTCTTTAACTAATTTTTACATAAAATTTTTTTTAACCACGCTATCAATGTCTCTTTTTTTAAAAGTTAAATATGTCTCTTTTTTAAAAGTTGAAAATGTCGCTTTTTTAAAAGTTAAAAATGTCTTTTTTTTTAAAAAAAAAATCTTGTTTTTGGGAGTACTTTGAAAGTGAATAAAACAATTTTGGTGAGACTGTTAGTAACAAATGCGGTAAAAATGTAAACGTAAAGGTTCATTAACCACTGCAATGAGAAATCATTTAAAATTAACTTCATGGTATAGTTTTAAACCAAAATGCAACAGCAGTGATGAAGAAAGTACTTGTGTCAAAAAAAAGGAGCAAAAAATTAAGGCTGAATTACATTAAAATAATTACATTAATTACATTAAAATACATTACATTACATTACATTACATTACATTACATTACATTACATTACATTACATTACATTAATTACATTAAAATAATTACATTAAAATAATAAAACATGCTGAATTACATTAAAATTAAAAAAGAATTTCTTAAAGAGATTATGTAAGAGTAGTCGCATGGCGATTACATCTATGTCTATATGTAATTCAAAGGTGTAAAAAATGCCTAAAATTCCAACAACCGTAATGAATTACATCAATAACTTTTTCAAAATCAAAATTTGTAGTAAATTTTTTTTTTATAGTAGTAGTATAGTAATTGCTTTCAAATTTGAAAAATTTAAATGTCAAAATGTAAAGTTTTTAATTAAGTTGTAAGTGGACAGACTGTGTTACCACAAGATATTTAAATGTTAATGTTCATGTTATTAAGCCAGAACCAAATACATCTAGTTGTGTTCTTGGATTAACTGAAATGAAAAGACAATGTAATGCTGAAATGATTAATTTATTAGTGCATAGAAAATTGGTGAGTTTAATTTGGGTTTAATTGAGCAGAATTAAAACTGGCAGAATTAAATTGGACATTACTGCTTCAACCCAAGATGGAGCAGCAGTAATGATAAAGTATGTAAAATAATTGGGTGCAATAAGCCAGTTCTGCCATAACCATGGTTATGACAGAATTCTACCATAAAGCCAATACACTAATAGTGACACAACATAGGGCATATGATAAGAAAGTTATCTTCTTGATGATAACAACAAGCTCTATTGAATTGATGAAAGCAGCTGTAATACAAATACTTTACAAACTCAAAGCAATGCAAACATTATTAGCATCTGGCATTCCTCCGGTGAATGAAAGGGTCTGAATTCCAATAATCTTTCAGATTTTTTTAAAAATAAAAAAGATGTATTTCAGAATAAAATTTCACATTTTTAAATTTTATTTAAAATTATTTATAATTATGAGCATTAATAATGAGATTGTTAAATTCAATCAATCATGGGACAAAACTGTAGACAGATTGATGGATTGAAGCTTTTTGGTATGAACTTGACGCCTCTCAAATTTTAACACTTTTCATAGAATAATGATACGGTCTTTTCGGAATAATGAAAAGAAGCAAGTTCAAGCAAGAACTAACAGGGGACATCGTGACTTTGATAAAATGGCAAAAGTCTAGTTTGCAAGCATTTCTTGATGTAAACATCTATGTTTAAAGTTGACAATGTGATAAAAGCTCCATATCTCAAACCATAGCTGCATATTGTTTGCCACAAGAGAAGTTTCTTACCAAATTTATCCAATGATTTATACCTGAACTTGTTGCTGACACGCCAACAAACAATTAAAGTGTAAAATTTGGACCTTTAGAGTTGTTTAAAGCCAAATTTGACGTACATTTTTTCATCTATAATTATGGAGCCATTAAATTTTGTAAGCACTTCATCATAAAGTTTTTGAGCTCGAGTTTTAGCAGTCAGTGATTGCTTATCTGATTGGTTTGGATATTTAATGGCTCAATAAGACTTGAAATTGTAAAATTTTTTAACTTTGCTGAAGAAAAAACTCTGAAACTTTATACTTTTTAGTTCTTTCTCTGTTCAATAAGCCAGAACTTTGCTTGAATGATTGTAAAATACCAATTGCTGCTTTCTTAACCTTAAAGCTACTCTTTTTTCCAGATCCTTTTGCTCATTTGATAGAGAGCTCTTGTATCGATTTATGACCATATAAACAGTTGCTTTGCTAGATCCAGATGTTTTAACAACTAGTAGTTATGATGCAGAAGAATTTTGTAGATAGTTGAGCAGAATTTTAATTAAGAAAGAAATATTTTGACTCATTTGTTGATGTTTTTAATTAATATTATCCTTACTTAATGTAGTTACGCAAAAAAAATAATTTTAAAATGTGTTAGTGACAAGTTTTAAAACAAAACTGGTTGTTCCAAATTTAATGATGACATGCTTTGTTATTGAAAATAATGTGTAATAATTAATGTTAATAACATGCCCCAAGTAATAGTAATATAGATGCTGTAGCAAGTTAATTGCAAAACACATATATGGTTATATATGCGTTATGACAGCCTACACTACCCTTTATTTTATTTATAATAATTTAAAATTTGTTAAAAATCAAAATAATATATTAAAAAAAATTAGAGTTAAATAAATTTCACAAAACTTATAATAAAAATCTATCAAGTCTTGCTTTAAAAGAGTTCAACGACTGCGCATTCACCACATGAATCGGTAATGCATTCCATTCATTTGCAATATGGTTACTAAAGAATGCTTGTCGAAACGAAGAATGCTTGACATTTTCTTTTTCAATTCCTTAGATTATGACCTCTTATTGCTGATACTGGTTCGTTTGCTCCTAATGACAGTGAAAATTGTTGTAATTTAAGCCATGTAATGTGATCTGTACTGTTCAATAATTTATACTCTTGTATTAGATCGCCGCACAAACACCCAGTCTCCAACGTAGTCAATTTCATTTTGGATAGTAGCTCACAACACAGATGTTTGAGATTTTGTACCAGTTTGGTTGCACGACATTGGACCTTTTCTAGTGATTCAATGTCACCTTTCAAAATAGGATTCCATACAGGGATTGCAAACTCAAGTACAGAGTACTAATCATTTCTGTATTTAGATGAGTGAAGGTATGCTTGATAATTCTGAGTACATTCTGCACTTTTGCTGCTGTATTAACTTGATGTATTAACTTGATGATGCCATTTGATGTCTGATGAGATCAACACACTTTTTTTTTTTTTTTAAACAAAAACAAGTTGAGCGCGGTACTACTAGGGATGTGATGGGGATCGAACTCGGAACCTCTCGCTTATGAAGCGAGTGTTTTACCACTACACCACTACCGCATATAGGTCACGTTCTGCTGTTGTTTTGCCTAGTTTGTACTCAACACCATTTTCATTAAATCATATAGATGCTCTTAGGGTTCTTTTTACCAATGTTTTTCAATCAAAAGAGCCCCAAAAACAAATCCCTAAGGAACACCACTGAGTACATTCAACCATGACAATAAAACTTCTCCCATTACATTGCATTGCCTAAGATTGGTTAAAAAAACCTCAATCCATCTCAACAAAATACCAGATATCCCATATGCTTCATACTTGAGTAATAGCCTTTTGTCAAGTATCCAATTGACATTTCATGTTGATTGGACACTTGCACTCCAAGAATGTTGTCAAAAAATCCATTGTTTCCAGTAAGTTGGTTACACAAGTCCTTTTCTTCACAAAACCATGTTTCAGTTATCATAATTGTGTCTAGATTATCCATCTGTATTTGAGCTTCAAATTGGTGTCTTTTGTTGTTTAGTAAAGTGGCGTTGGTATACCAGAATTTTAAACATGATGTCGGTGAATGGAATGGAAAAATACTGTAGTTGTTATGCATTTGTGATTTCTTGACATGGTCCAGCTGTTGCAGATGAAGTGTTTGCATTTGTTAGAATTGCTAATGTCAATTGGCCGCCTGTTAAAGCCATTTCACATAGAGAGAGATCCAGTAGATCAGTCAAAAGAACAAATGGCTGTACTCAAACTCTATGTAAATTGACAGACAAAGTTTAAAAGAAAATTTTTAATGGACCAGAAATATATGCAGAAGATACTAAGTAGCCACAGTAGGTAACTGAAAAGTACATGCCCTAACTGTAGATTTTATTCATATTGAAAAATCATCAAATGTTTTAAATATTTTGACAGGATATATTGTAAATATTTATGTGCCTGTATGGTCTACTGTAAAGCATCAAGAGCTTACAACTAGTGACAATTATGAAATCTGTTTTTCTTAATGCAAAGATCTGAGATTTTTTATCTGGCAAATAAAGCTGTATATGAAATTTTACAACAGAGCATAAACCAAACCTTGAAACCAGAGCTAATCACAATAATAAAACTTTTACAGGTACAAAGCAATGTAATTTAGCCATAATAACCTCAATGGATAATCAAGCCAAATATATTTCTCCCAAAATAGTCAAATACTTTTATGTATTTTATATTTACCACTAGTATTCTGAACTATTTTGAATAAATACTTTACTCATAAAATTTTATTTGAATAACATTTTATATTGAATCATTACATCATTTTTTATTTTTTAAACACTTAAATCATTACATTGTCTTCATTTTTCAAACAAGTGAATCATTACATTGTCTTCATTTTTCAAACAAGTGAATCATTACATTGTCTTCATTTTTCAAACAAGTGAATCATTACATTGTCTTCATTTTTCAAACAAGTGAATCATTACATTGTCTTCATTTTTCAAACAAGTGAACCATTACATTGTCTTCATTTTTCAAACAAGTGAATCATTACATTGTCAAACATTAAGAATTATTGCACTGTCAAACATTTAGAATTATTACAACATTTAGAATAATAACATTTGTCAAACATTTAGAATAATTACATTTATCAAACATTTAGAGTTATTACATTTGTCAAACATTTGAATCATTTAATTGTCAGCATGTCACTATTTTAGACTAGATAACTCAAACAAAAATTAAAATATTTATCTAAACAATTATTATTATTAAAAAAATATGAAAAAAAAAAAATTAATCAAATATAAACCAGAAATATATGTAGAAGACTAAAAATTTCTTGTTCAATTGAACAAGAGTTTCTGAAGTTTAAATAAATGACTTACAGCGACATTTGCAAGTTGTTTCCATATGCAGAAAAACCATATTTACAATCATTTAGAAGAGCGATTCCAAAATTATATTCTGACATATCAACCCATTTATGACCACACACCTAATAAAACCATATAAAAGTTAGAAGAATAAAAAATTTTAAAATTAAAATTTTTTTCAATGTTTTCAAAGTCACGGTCTGTAAAAATCCAGTTTAATTCCTAGGGAAGGTTGATTTTTACAGACTGTGAGTTATATACATTAAAAAAAATTTTAATTTAAAAATGTATTGTTCTAATTTTTATATACATTTGCTAGAACAGCTTGGCAAAATATTAAAAAGTTTTATTTTGTAAACAAATGAAAAATTTTAACCAGAAATGCCTTTAATTAGCAAATATAAAACTGTTTTTCTTTTAATCAAATTTCTATAAATAATATTGTCAAAGAGAGAAATACTGAAATGAATATATTTCCAATGCGCAACACCTATATAATATAATTATTATAAATATTTCATGAAAAAAAGATTCTTTAACAACTTTACTAATATTTATGTTTGTTGTTGAAGTTGATGATGGACCTCTCTCTCTTCTGTATCTCTATATATAACAATGATTAGATGGAATGGTATTTTTAATTTATCGAATATATATAGATCTCTCTCTCTCTCTATCTATATATATATATACATATACATATACATACATATATATATATATATATATATATATATATATATATATATATATATATATATATATATATATATATATATATATATCGATTGATGTTTAATGTGTATTACAATAATAATACAAAACTCTATTTCGGTTAAGAGTGCTCAATAATAAAGAAAGTAAACAACTTTTTAACTAGAGTGGTATATATATATATATTTTTATTTACATATAGAAAAAACAACTTTTCAAGGGACTATTAGTTTCATGCCTATACGGCAATCATCAGCCATGTACTATATCAAAAACAAACAAACCGTTTATAAAATTACAAAATACAGTGGAGAGACATCTGACGTCTCTATAGAGACAAAACAAGAAAACATCAAAGAAAATTTTATATAAATCAGCTAAACATCAGTATCATAAAACGAAAGAAGGAATTTATTTTTATGCCTACAATCTGAAACCAACACGTTCCTTTTATATATATATATATATATATATATATATATATATATATATATATATATATATATATATATATATATATATATATATATATATATATATATATATATATATATATATATATATATATATATATATATATATATGTATATATATATATATATATATATATATATATATATATATATATATATATATATATATATATATATATATATATATAGGGTTATAACTTTTTATCTCCCCCATGTTCCTGTATTGTAGTTTGATGAACTTTTACCTAAAAAGCGCAAAATGAACTATTATTTACATATCTTTTCAAAAAAGTTCACCCCGCCACACAGTCAGATCTCAAAAAAGCTGGTCTAAAAGGAAAAAAGAAAAGTTTCGTGTCATGTTTTTTTTGTCATGTCATTTTTGTCATGTCATTTTTGGACTATCAGGCTATTATTTAAGATATCTAAAAATTTGATTTATTTAAATAAGGTTTTTTCAAGTTTATTTTTATCCATAAACCTAACTATACTAACATACTTATATCTTGTTATTATTGTAAAATTATTTAATAAAACTGTTAATTGGTACTTTTTTTTTTTTTTGTGTGCATATTAACTTAACCAAGATTGAAGAGAACATTACAAAAATATTATTTTTGGCTTCAGTGATGTTGAGACTACTTAATGCCGGCTGTGCAGAAGATTTTTAATTTGTGCGCTATATTCCAGGTCAAACACAGCAGTCCTTTGTTTGTCATGCTTGCAACCATAAAAGCTAAAAAATTGTTTTTTCTTCAAAGATAAATATTTTTGTCACATGTATGTGAAACAAATATTTTTAATATGGAAATCGTTTTATGAGGTATGTATTAATTAAAAAACAAAAATATTATTATTAAGCCATTAATTTAAATTTTTATTTTTTTAATTAACTTAATACAAAAAAATGTTATATAAAATTGTAAAATTTGCTTTAAAAATAGAGATAAGTTACGAATTTCATGACATTCCACTTTCAATTACATTGTATTTGTACGTATATAGTATTATTTAATATTCAAATTCACCTACTAGTACCAACTCAACTTTTAAGCCATGTTTTATATGACAGTTGCAAAATGCCGTTATTGAGACATTTTGAAAAATGAAAGTAAAATTATTTAATTATGAGCTACATTTGTACAATTTTAATTATAATCAATGTCTAGAAGAATTATAAAAAATATTAAAAGTAGAAAAGGACAGGAACAACGCTTTCTCCTACACAGTGAGATGAATAACTTAAAAAAAGACAGTGATTGCCACACACACCGCCAAACAGTGATTACCATTTTCCGATCTTCAAGATATGATTGCATTCCCTTTTTTTTTCTTGTTTCATATTTTAAACTGAATACTTGGTTATATTTTTAATGACATTATCAATATTAAGAAATATTTTTCATTAAAAAAAGTTACTAACTTCATAATTAAATCAAGAAAAAATTACATATAAATCAAAACACAAACATTGTACATACTCTGTACAGATGTTTTTTTTAACGCTTTTAAGTATTTAATAAATGAATTAATAAATAAATACATACATACTTAAATAATGCATAAGTTGATAATTAAAATAAAAATTGCATTTATATTGTATTAAAAGTATTTATATAGTAATTCAAATTTATTTATACAGTAATATAAATGTAATACAAGTAAAACAATAATTTATATGTAATTAAACAGTAATTTAAATCTTTAAGTCATATATTTTTTTATAGATGATATATGGATAGAATTCATAGAATTGGAAATGGCTAGAGCTCATTTAAATAACAGTACAATTATATATTTTACTAAAATAAAAAATTAAAAACTTAACTAAATATTGAGTAAATAAATTTTAAATAAGTATAACATAGATTTTTTAAATTCAGGATTATCAGATCCACCGGTTGCCGCATATGGACTTTCCAGGAAAGAGATCATTATTACAAAATAATATTTTACAAATGATTTTCAAGTGATCATAGAACATTTATAAAAGTCATTGACAGAAAAGCTGGATATGTAATTTCAATTCCCGACGACATGAGACTATTTCTGTTTTAATGACAAAGTTTAGAAGCAAATATAAGGAAGCAGCTCAACAACAAGATTACTTTTTCAAAAAGAACAAAAACTGGTTAAAAAATTTAGTAAAATTACAGATTGATGTAAAACGTCCAACTGTAAATAAATAAACAAGTCAATTTAATCTGTTTCTACTGCCCAACGGAAGAAACTTTATCTGATATATCCAAAAGAAGGAGGATTAAAGAGATGCGTACGAAGTTAAGTCCTGCCGAATTATCGTTCGCTATGCAAATGAGTCTTCGATCTTCAGGGCATTCAGATGCTGCTAAGATTGTGAATGATGTTACACTGTCAGGTCTATTCAAGGCAACAAAATACAAGGAAGGCTTGCAACTTTCATTATCATTGACAGCCTTTTATAATGCAAATAAAGCTCTAGCACTTCTATTACACTTAAATTTGACGAAAGATTTGTACCAGCATTTGAGAAATCAGACACAAAAAAAAAAGGCTTAAACACACTTTACCCACCATACTCAATTTGGCAGCAAAAAATATTGCTACCCTCCAGATAATACCTTAAGTTTTACCAAATTAAAAGCTGAGGTATAGTTCCAAGCTAGACCACACTGTTCAACGTGTTTTACTGCTGAATCAAAACAATATTACATATAAGAGTGATTCAGAAATATTGAATATGACTTTTATAAAATATTGAAAATGACTTCCAAAGATCCATATATATCAGATGCAATTTTTTTTTTCCTTCGCTTGTTCCATTGCAACTTGTAGGTGTAAATCAAGAAACGAAAGAAGAAAATCTCTTATGAAGTAATCCGAAGCCATCTTCAACCCTTCTTTGCAGACCTCTGAAATTTAAATTTACAAAGGAAACCAAGGAAACTTTTTTAAATAAGAAAAAATGAGAAAATGAAAAACTTTCAAGCAATTTAATAACATTGATGAAGTTTTGCAAAGTCCGGTAACCACTGATTATCTACAGTACAAACTGTCAACTCTACACGTCTGGATTCGATGTTTTGTATCCCAAATGCTGTATTCATTTGGGATACAAAAAAATACGAAAAAATGGCAAGCGAGTAAAAAAGAAGATAAGCAGGAAAAAACAACAATGAAAGCTAGCCTCCAAAAAGTTTTCAAACAGCAACTAGGAATTTTAGTCGACATGTCAAAGCAGGGATTGGGCAGCATGAACAACGGAAATACTGCTCGGCGTTTCTTTAAAAACACTCAAACGTCATCCTTGATAATTGGAGTTTCCGAAGAATTAATCCATCATATAATTTTGCAAACAAATTTTAGTGGACATGAGATTGACGTTGAAAAGTTTCGAGGTTAGACCTTAGCAACTGCAAGACACTATATCAAAGAATATCTCTGGTACAACATGCCAACATCAGTACATAGATTGCTGATTCACGGACCAGGCATTATTTCTTTGGCCATTTTACCCATTGGTCAACTGTCCGAGGATGCTCAAGAATCAACCAAAAAATTAATAAAGCAACATTGTTTGGATTTTTCTCAAAGGTTTTCAAGAGTTAAGACTATGGAAACTTAAAGACTTTGTTGCCAGAGGCTGTTGCTCTCTTGGTTTCTGTAGCAGAAGATTATGAAGACTCTGATGCAGATGCCGAGGAAACAGGCTTTGAATATAATGAAGATTTCAACAAAGAGACAGATAAAGATGAAAAAGGCCAAAATAATTGTAAATAATTGTAAATGTTTTTTCTATATTTAACACCATCTTCCATCATTTGATCCATTTTTTAGCATTTATTGACATATTGGATCCACCATTTTGTTTTTTAATTTTTTAAATTTTTTTTGTCAAATTCTTAATTTGTGGCCTGAAAGAACCCTTAAAACCCATTTATGAACAACTTAAACAATTTTTTAACATATACGTCCGCCATATTGAATCCACTATTTTTTATTTTTTTATTTTTTCAGCGAATCCCCAATCAGCAACCTCAAAACATATTTGCCGTAAAATTTTAGGCAAATTATTCAGTGTTTTCATATTTTGACCAGCTTTTTTGATATCCGACCCATTGTGCGCCATTGAAAAATTGATTTTGACATAAGTACTAATATGTATTCAAATGTATTTAGAATGTCATAGTCATGTAATACAATGAATTTTCAATCCAACAATGACTCAGACCGTTGATCTTGTTCTTGCTTGTTGCACAGAAGGAATCAAAGGTGCAATTTGTTTTTATTTTTGCATGATGAGTAAATTTCCTCCATTACTTTAATTGCACACTCTGTGCATTGATTACTTAAGGGTATCTGTAGTATGGATGGCTCTCACTTCCAGTGATTTTTCAAAGAGCTTAAAGCCTTTTTGTATGGATTCAGTATTTCAGCCAATTTAATAAAGTTGTTTTCGTTGTACAGTTGGTATGCAAACCAATGGTCTGCCCAGCCATACGATATAAATCGACACTCTGCAGAACTGTCCTTGTTGAAGGAATTAAAATGAAGGCCAGGATTGCTAGTATAGCTCTGGAGTTCCACCTCGCATTGCTGATTTTGGGTATTTTCTGAAACCTGATCAATAGAAAATATCCCTTTTTTTAAAAAAAATCGAAACACTCAAGTGAGATAAAACAAAAATTTCAAATCATTTCTCCAGCGTGATGTTTCGAGAATTACTTCTGTTCCGTTATCAAACTGTATTTTCAGTTGTTCATACTCCTTCAACAGTTGCGATACAAACGGATATTTGATGTTTGGTAATTGTGTTTTACTTACAAGTTCTTCATTCATCACCAAACAGAGGATTCTATCTAATACATGGAAAACTCATAAACTGATGTTTGTTGATGCGTTTCTCTGTGAACATTCGTTGCAATATTACAACAACACCATTCTTTTTTCCAGTGTTAACGCTGGTGGTATCTGCAAAAATCACCTGTATTGAAATCGATAAGTGAAATTCATTGAGGACTTTCAAGGACAGGATATCCAATTTGATTTCTCTTCTTTCATTTTTAAGGATGACCACTTGATAATCCATTCTATCGATGTGCTTGCCATCAAAGTGTAAAAACTAACTTTCTATATGCAACTCTTCAACCATTTCTTTCTTCAGCTTGATTGCCTTTTTGATTGTTGACTTTTAAATAGCTGATTGACATGGAGTTGAGATGACTACACAAAGCTGCTAACATATGCAAGCAATTGGCTTGTGTAGTCAATGACTACACAAGCCAATTGCTTGCATATGTTAGCAGCTTTGTTTGTTAATACTCTTGTGGAGGTCACCAAGTTGACTACAATTTTGCTTTTATGATTTTTTCTGCTTGGTGTAGGAGTTGTCTCATCTTCTTCTTCAGAGTCAGAATCACTAAAACCAGGATAGTAAGATAATGAATTGGATGACTCATGAGAAAGTTTTTGTGTTTTAGAGGGATGGAATGTTTATTTATGTAGAGTATCCCACTGTTTCTTTGCTTTCCACTTGGAGATAGTACAATCGCTTTTACTTGAAAGATAACCATGTTCCATCCACTTTAGTAATATCGAAAATTTCATCAAGGGGTTTGAAGCTTCCATGCTTGACACATTTATCATAAACATTTCAGTATTTTATCAAGCTTTGTTTATATAACTTGATCAGATACACGAGGAAAATTCAGTTTATTCTTCCACAATTTGCTGACATCTTTGGACCAAGAAAATGGTTTTGAATGATTTGCGGGAAAGCCACACGTATTAGTAGTAGCAGTAACAAGATTAAATAAATGACAAAACGAATTTGAATTGCAGGGTGACCTTTTTTTACAACTAAGAAGAATTGAACATGTTTTCAATGTTTTCTAATAAAAGTTCATCAATTTATGACACAGGAAATTAATTTTTTTTTTAAAGTCAAAAAGTCATAACCTTAATATATATATATATATATATATATATATATATATATATATATATATATATATATATATATATATATATATATATATATATATATATATATATATATATATGCAATCAATATACTGTGAATACAAAATTAGATCACCAAAAAAAAAATGATCCAAAAAAAGTTCAAACCAATTTTTTGAGGGATAACTTTTAAAATGTGTCACAATGTAGAAAATTAAACAATTTACTAGAAAAATGCAAAGTATAGCCATATATCTGCAATTTATTCTCATTTTTTCTAATTTTGAGGGCTGTGCATTTATATAATCAGGGCTCATTAGGCGTATCATGATTGCTTTTCACAACTTTGTGATTATTTTTTTTTTTTACATTTTTAATTTATCATCTTTTTTAACTATTCTTAAAAGTAATGTTTTTGTCTAAGCTTTTTATTATGGGTCATAAAATATGTCACGCTAAATTTATCTTTTGATAGAGGTATGATCATTTCCTCTCTAGCACAGAGATTTTCATTCAACATAAAGCGCTTTTGAACTTAAATTACTTTAAACCTCTGCGTGGAAGTCAATTATTATTTTAGAGTTATATTTATTTTTATTTACTGAATGGATAAAGTACATTGCAGCAAATTTACCTATAAACTAAATAAAAACAACCAGTTAAGTTACTATAGTAACTTACAGTTACTCAACTATTAAATTTACTTAATATACTTTAAGACTTGCAAAAGTTATCCATACAAATGCTTATATGTTGTTATATGTACATTATATATTATATAATGTACATATAACAATGTATATATTATATATTATTTTATATAACATTACATATCTTATATAATGTTAACACATAATATGCTTTTAACTAAAAACTATTTTAACAGGAAATCCCGAATAGAATATGAAAAACGCGATAACAATTTATATATTTTCATTTTACTTAAAGCAATATCAAGATTTAACATTTTCTATCAATACGCAAGTTGTTTTTTAAGAAGAATTTTTTTTTAAAAAAGAAATATATTTGAAAAAAAGAGAGCGTTATTTGAAAATAAGAGAATTTTAAAAGACTAAAATTCTCTTATTCAAATACTTTTGCGTTTGAATGTCTTATTGCCAGCATGAACATATTAAATAGTTTTCTAAAACAGATTAAAGAGATTAAATATTGTAATATTTGCATTTTTACTCATACTTTTTTAAGTAGTTTATCATGTTAGATATATTTATATATATATATATATATATATATATATATATATATATATATATATATATATATATATATATATATATATATATATATATATATATATATATATATATATATATATATATACATACATACATATATATATATATATATATATATATATATATATATATATATATATATATATATATATATATATATATATATATATATATATGTATGTATATATATATATGAAAAAAATGAGAACCTCGTGTTTGGCCCAATCCCAGGAAGTGTTGTAATGTGTTGGACGCTGAATATGGCCCATTTGTATCTCATAAGTTGCATTATTTGCATGAACATTTAAAAAAAATTCAGTCTTGAGCAACTTCCTATTTTCATGCCATTCAACCTTAAATAGAAAATTAAACTTTATAAACATCAGCAAATTAATTTTTAAAGAAATGGAAAATAAGTGTAGAGCACTCAAATAACTTTTTATATTAACTTTTGTAATCAATTTTATTTTCGATTTAACTTAATTTTTTAAAAATAACTTTTTGTCTACATACATACATTAATTATTCAGAGACCCTAACCTCTTCTATAGAGGTTAATTTCCACTAAAAAACCTTTGAAAACATTCTGCTTTTTAATGAGAAAAATCATTGCAGGTATATGCAACAGACACATCAAAGAATAAATGGAAAAGTAATTACAAAGTAATTAATTAAAAAATAAATAAAAATAAAAAGTAAAAAGGTAAAAGTTAAACTACAAAGTAGGATAACGGAGCTGGATTGAGGGGAGCTGGATTAAGGTGACTTAATTTTGCAATCTGATTTTGTAATCTCTGTTTTGAAAAAATAAGAACTGATACTAAAAACATTTTTAGTATATAAAATTTTTTGCCACATTTTATTTTGCTTTTAGAAAGTTACATGTTTAAAAAAAATTAAAAGACATTACAAAGTATTACAAAAACTGCTGTTTATAATACCTCTGTGTCGAATCGTATAAAATCTGATCCAGCATCTAATGATACAAGTTGGGATATATAACTTTTCTCGCTAATTTGAATTCTATACTAAATATTAGAGAACAAAATAATTGTATTTATAGAAAAAACCAACATTTAAATGCAGTTTAATATATTAATAAATACAATAACAGTAATATAATAATAAATACAATTTAAAACAATATAGCAATAAAAATAAATAATAAAAAATATTATTAAAAATCATAACATAAGTATAAGAATATGAAGCAAATAAAATAACAAATAAAAGATTTAACAAAAGTATAATATAATAAAATTACAAAAAGAAAGAAAAGAAAAATACAAAACAAAAGTATAAAATATAAAATATAATCATATTATATATTGACCAACTTAATAATAATAGTATTAATGCTAATTTGAACTCGCAGCAGCAACTAAACCCGAGTTAATAGCAAGAAAGAGCCTCTCTAAACACTTCATTCATAAGTAAATGCAAATCTAACATATTTTAATAATGTATATTTGAAATTATATTAATGCTAAAGTTTACACAAATTTTTAGATTTTTACTTTTCAAATTTATTTTACAAATAACTTGAGTTCGCATAATTTATTTTACAAATAACTTGAGTTCGCATAATTTATTTTACAAATAACTTGAGTTGGCATAAGGAAGATGGGTATAAAAACAATATAAACAATTTGATAGATTAACAAAATTAATAATAAAAACAATTTGATAGATATATTATATAATATCTATAGATCTATCAAATTGTTTTGTTTTCCATTTAAAAACTAGAAAATTAAAAAAAAGCAAGATTAAAGCTTCCCACATGATTAAACTATTTAAGAAAAAACAAAAAAGTGTCTAAAAAAATATTTTTCATAAGAAAATAATGGAAAATTAATTATTATATTTAAAATAAAATATTATATTAAAAAAGAATTATATCAAGTAAAGGAAATTTGAAAATTACTTGATATCACATTAATAAACAAGTTTTGGGTTTTTACAGCTACTTTACCATTCTCCATTCAAAATATTCTAAACCTAATGGGCAGCTAAAATGCAATTTAAAAAATTGAACAAATTTATATAATTAGATTTATAAGCTATGTAAGCCAACTGAGAGCAAAGTTAAATCATTGTGTACCATAATATTCAAATGTTTCAACATAATTAATTTTGTAGTAAGGTTCGCTTTAATAAATTTTAATAATATTTCAATAAGAATTAATTTTATATATAATCATTTTTAACATTTAAATCTGTGCATATTAAAATAGATTTTTATATAAGGATAACTAGATCAAATATTCTGTTTATCTAATTTATTAATAGATAACCATGTTATTTTTAAATATTTTTTTAAGATACCCAAAAACATTTAAAGAAAATGTCTAGTAATACATTACTAGACATAATCAAAATGTAGAAGTGTATTGAATATTAAAAATGTATTAAATTAATGTAACTGTGAAATTGATGATAATGCTCTCTTGAATGTTTGTAAGTTGCACTCCACTTTTTTAATATTTTATGTTGTGTTATTAAAATATTTGTTAATTATGTTTTAAATTAATATAGTTCAGTATATTATTTAAATGAAAACTTTTACGGAAACATTGATTAGTTTTTGAAATGTTTCTTTAACTTTATTATAATTTGATAAAATGTTTGTTTTTGATTATATTTAAACAAACAGTCATTTGTTTATTATTTAGATGTAAACCTTGAAGGAAACATAGGCTAGTATTTTGAATTTTATTTTTTCTTTATTATACAGGGTGAACAATTAAGTTCTGACCCGCCTCATATTTTGTATTACAACAAGTGGATGTGTTATGTATTACAAATAGTGTATACAACAGTGGATGATGATTATTACAGGAAAAAGATCTTCCCTGTTTACAAAGCTGTCATGACTGGTAAAAAAAAATTCCCTTTGCTCAGTATGCTGTTTTAATGCAAAATGAATTATTTTGGATGTCATCAATAGGGAGTTCAACAATGTCTGGACTGATTGGCCTGGGAATTCATCAGACCCTAATTGCATTGAGCATATATTGGCAAGGCTTCAGAACAGTGTTTTTAAAAATCCCAGATCCCAAAACCGCCAACAATTCATCACAACAGTTCAAAAAGAATGGGCTTCCATCAGCCAGGAAGAAAGCTATTCACTTATTAAATGTTTTTGCATCAGAATTCTGGAATGTTCTGGTAAAAATGTTGGAATAACTTCTTACTAATCAGTAACATTGTTCTAAAGATTTTGTGAAAAAATAAAGAAAAAATATTAGGTAACAACTGAGTTACAGCCATTTATAAAAAGACACTAGGGGGGTCAGAAATTAGTTGTACATCATGTAACTTGATACACTAAATATTTTTTTTTTTTTTAATATTTAAACAAACAATTGTTTATTTATTATATAGATGAAAACTTGGTAGAATCACATCCTATAGTGCATATATGGTGCTGGCCCAGAACTGAAAAACGATTTCCCATCCATTCATCGAAGGGAAGGGGTTTCTCATACCGTAGGAGGGGTAAGGGAAAATATTTGACTAAATCTTTGACTAAAATTTGGCTAAATGGTCAACATTCCTATATTAATGAATGGCAATCCTCTTACTGAGTCCTCCTCTTTACATCTTCTTGGATTATCGCTTACTACTGACCTTTCATGGAAACCATATATACAATCGATTGCTAAATTAACTTTTGCTAAGGTTGCTTCTCTTTATCGTGCTTGCCATTTCCTTACTTCTGATTCCATTCTCTACCTCTACAAATCTCTTATTTTTCCCTGTATGGAATACTGTTGCCATATTTGGGCTGGTTCTTCTAACGATTCACTTTCTCTTCTTGACAAGGTCCAAAAACGCATTGTAAATGTTGTTGGACCTGGACTATCTGCTAAGCTTGAGCCTCTTTCCCATCGTCGTAAAGTTGCATCTCTTTCTCTTTTCTACAAATACTATCATGGTCACTGCTCAAAGGAGTTATCATCTCTAGTTCCATCAACTAAAATTCATTCTCGTTTTACTCATCATTCAGCTAAGTCTCATTCGTTTACTGTATCTGTCCCTGCATGCTCTAAAAACTTTTATTCATCTAGTTTTTTTCCCCGCACTTCAACCCTTTGGAACTCTCTCCCATCTTCATGTTTTCCTGACTCATACAACCTTCAACTTTTCAAGTCTTCTGTCAACCATTTCCTTGTTTTACAACTCTGTTCTTTTTTTTTTTCCTAGTAACTCCCAATTTAATAGTGGTTGCTTGCAGCCTTGTTAGGAGTGAATGCAAATTAAAAAAAAAAAATCTACAAATAAGAGATATAATTGAATGTTATTTTGTAAATATTTTTATTGAACTTTTTTTTTTAACTTTGTTCCCTTTTTTTTAATAAGTTGCGTTTGTAAATAAATTTTGTTGATGAGATATACATTTACAATATCTATATCAAAAATTAATTCAGCAGAACGCTTAAAACATATAAATATTTTGAAAGTTTGGCAATGATTGTGTTTATGTTTTTTTCATGTTTCTTTAGTTAAAATAATATTTAATTGTCAGTTAAGTATTTTCATAATTAATCACAAAAATTAATACAAAAAATCAGAAATAGTAGTACTGCAAATAAATTTCGGAAAAATTACATTTGTATTTTTTACCTAGGTTTACCCATATGTCTTCATTGTTCTGTAGGATAATGATTTTTAAATCATTATCCTAAATATTTTTAACTAGACGAATCATATTTTTAATACATTTTTAATACATATAATAAAATACAAACATGTCTAATTTCATTATTTTTATTTTTATTTATTTGTTGGTTTAAAAATTTAGACAATTTAAGTTTTAACTAAAATCTGATTTTGGTTGTTCACTAATATATAGAAAGACAAGTTAAAAACTAATACAAAAACTTGAGCAAGAATCAAGAGGTTACATGTAATGACATGTAACAACTTGAACAAGAGGTTACATGTCATACTTTTAACTTAACAAGTAGTTTAAAACTTGATCTTTGCTATTTTGATCAATTCTTAGCATGAGGAAGTGAAATTTTGTATTTAAGAGTTACAGACTTATGAAAAAGGTTGTTAAAAAATAGAGGATAAAATGAATTTCTCCCTCCTAATACTTTACGCATGAGATTTGTATGTAAAAACTTTTTTAAGTTAACCAAAAAAAATATCTCAATTGATGAAGAATATTTTGTTAAGTAAATAAAAAACAGTTTGCACTTAATTTTGTTTTTTACATATTCCTGTATGTGGTTTTTTATATTTTTTTATATTTTAACATTTTTTTATATTTTACCATTCTGTTGAGTTTTTATACTTCTATTATATGGATCTTTTGCCATTTTATTGAGTTTTTATTGAGATAAAAATTAAAATGAAAAATAAATTTTATATATAAAACAAATAGTTTAAAATAAAATCAAAAAACAAAAGTTTTGTTTTTATTTGTTTGATGTTTACAATCAATTGCTGATCAAAAGAATGAAAAAAAAAATTGTTTATGTTTATCATGATATTTTAATACTCACAATTTTTTTTGTATTGTTGCCATGAAATTGTAAATGAAATCATATTGAAATAAATAAGTACATTGGTGTCTCAAAATAATTTTTTTTTTTTAATAATATTTTTTATTAACATATTTTTTATGTTCTCGCAAGAAAATTAATGATTTAACAAATCATTAATTTTCTTGCAATGAATTGCTTTACGCTAAACACTTAAAACCAAAGTCATAAATATTCAATTTTAAAAGAGTTTTCAAATGATCAATTTCTTTAGAAAAAAACATAAAGTCATCAAAAAAAGTAACTTTTTCTGTAAAAAAAATTATGACATAATTAATTAAAGCATAACAATAATATAATTTGAAGTTTTTATTATGAGATTTTCTAAAAGAAATGTGTTTTTAAGAAATCTTTTAAGAAATATTCTTTAAGAATTATTTAATTGTACCAACATTTTTTTTTTTTGGTAAATGTAATATTCTTTAGAATTATTTAATTGTACTAACTATTTTAATTGTACCAACTATTTTTTAAGAATTATTTAATTGTACCAACAATTTCTTTTTTTGGTAAAGTTAAATTACTTAAATAAAATTCATTCAAATTATTTTATTAGTTTTAAAATAAAAATTACTAATACTAACTTAGTATAAACAATAAGTCATTCAATATGTATTATATGTCATCATATTATCTCATCATAATGATAGATACTTGGAAACTAGCTCTTAAATAATAATAGGTACCTGGAAACTAGCTCTTAAACAATAATAGGTACCTGGAAACTAGCTCTTAAAGGTCCTCGATCAATAATTTGTATCTCAGCACACAAGTTCAAAATTTCTCTAAAAAAATAATTTCAACAAGTAAAAAATAAAGTTTAAACATAAAACATAATTGGTAAATAAATAAAAGAATTATACCATTTAATAATTTCCTCGTTCTGATAAGAAACTTTTTCTAGGTACTAAGGATGGTTTTGGTTGTAATGAAAATAAATAAAAATTTAATAGAGTTAAACTCTATTTAATGAAAATAAACTAAAATAAATATACTTTGTTTCCTGGTTATAAGGCATAACATCCCATGCATCCCAGTACAAAGGGATGTCAGTATACAAGCAGAAACAGTTACTAGCAGATGCCAAACATTCTCTAAAAAAGTTTGTCACTAATTAAAACCAAGCATTAAAATATGCAGTCAAATAACTTCACAATTTTATTGACACAATCATCAGATAACAGAACAGCATCATCAGTTAGCAGAACAACATCATTGATAACAACTATTGTAACATAAATTGTAAATATTAACAATTACTTTAAAACCAGCACTGCATAAATAATATAAAACAATGAGATGAAAGTTCAAGTCATAATTTTGTTTAAGAACTAAAATCTAGTGTAAACAATAAATACATTAAGGTATATAATACAATTAGACTATTAAAATTTTTTAGGTTATTATTTCAAAAATTTAAAAAAACCAGTTTAGGGATCGTCCATAAATTACGTCACGCATTTTTTGACAGATTTTGACCCCCCTACCTTAGCAAAATAGCAAATGAAAAACTGTATTCAAGTATATCCCTTATTTTCTAGGATTTACAGCACAATATGACTCTGAGTGATGTTTTGTAATACTTAGTAAAAATAAGCCAATTAATCCTTGAAAATATAACACTAAAAAATTTTCATGATTTTATTATTATTGAATTTAACAGTAATAGTAAAAATGCAGGATAAAAATGCAGGATAAAAATGCAGGATAAAAATGCAGGATAAAAATGCAGGATAAAAATGCAGGATAAATACTTTTTAAGATATGTTCATGATGGCCACAGCTGTTTTAAAACTGTCAGCTATGTTTTAAGTTTTTCAATATTCTTAATGAACAAGATTTGTGTCTTATATAGAACATAAAGATGTGCATAATTCTTTAAAATTTTTTAGATATCACAAATAATATCATAAAAAATAGAAATAGCCAATGCAAATTTAAAATTTATCATAAAGGAGCTTAATTGTGCATTAATCTCCTTTATGATGAACTTTAAATTTGTGTTGTCTATTTCTATTTTTTGGTTAAACCAAAGTCAGACCATGATCCAAAAATTATGGATGGAGTTTTTACTCAATTTGTGAATAGAGCCCATAAAACAACAATATCTAGATCTGGAAATTAAATTCTTGACACAGGTCTTTGTTGAGAATGAGTATGAACTTTTCAAAAAACAAAAGTTATAAAACTACATTAGAAAAAATATTTAAGCCTTTATTTGAACAAACAAATAAATATTGGTCAACTGGTTTTTAATAGGATTTCCTTTTTTTTATTTAAACATCTTCACTTCCAACAAGGCTGCAAGCAACCACTATAAGATTTCAAAATTACTAGAAGAGAAAATAAAAAGTTTATAAAGTAAGATAACAATTAACAGACAAATTAAAAGATTGGAAATTATATGAATAAGAAAAACAAGACGAAGGGAGCGAATTCCAAAGAACTTATGTTTGAAGAAAAAAAATAGACAAATATTTTTGGAGCATTTAGAAACAGTCACAGTAAATAGATAAGACTTAATTGAATGACAAGAAACACCACAATGAAAACAAATTTTATACTACAATTTTTTTTTTCAATTTTATTTCAAACTTTTATTTAGGTGCCCCAAGAAGTCCTTACAGTCTTATCACAAAGCACCACAGATGAGCATTTAATTAGAAGTTCACTCCTCCTTCCTAACCGATGTCACAAAACTTGCCCAGAGGTGGGGTTTGAACCACAGATCCTTCGTTTCTGAGGGAAGTGCACTACCACTGCACCATGGCTGCTTATTACTGCTTACAATTGGTAAGGAAGGATTCAATAATCTTAAAGATTTTAATTGATGCACCGAAAGAAGAGAGCTTTTGGAGAAGATGCCAAACTTTATCAAAAGCTTTAGAAATGTCGAGAGTAATAGCTTTGAACTCTTCACATCTAAAGCCTTTCTACATCTATTTAATGTACAATAAAACCTATTGGATAATACCATTAACAAATCAGTAGTAGAACGAGAAGATCGATATCCATATTGACGATCAGAAAGTAAGTTCTTAGATTCACGATAAGATATTAAGTATTTGCTAATTAAAGACTCAAAAACTTTGCTTATTATAGGAAGAAGAATAATGGGGCAGTAGTCAGTCGAGTCATTTTAAATTATAGGAAGAAGAATAATAAGGCAGTAGTCAGGCGAGTCATTTTAAATATCAAATCATAAAAAACTTTGCCAAGATATAGTAAACTATAATAATATTGAAGTAATGGTTTTGGCTAAGAAAAAATATGACAGAAACATAAGTGAGGCTTTAGGAATTTAACACCATCAAACAGTACCACAAGATCTCATGGGTATGAATCTAGATAGCAACATTATGTATGGGACATATTTTAAAAACAAATGATGTGCTCTTTACTACCTAAAAAATGAAGCTAATGCAAATATAATGAATTAAATTTTTTTCTACGATGATCAAAAAAAAAAATTAATTTTATGGTTTTTGTAAAAATATTTTGAAATTATTATATTATTGTCTAAAGTCTCAAAACAAACTAAATATTAGAAGTATAAATAAATAAACATATAGTATTGAATGATCCACATAAAAAGAAAACAAATATAATTCTACACAATTATAAAAAAAATGTCTTTAAACATTATAACCTTTGTGATTTTAGCAAAATGCACTTTGTCATCTGACCATTAGTGTTAAAATGAACTTCTAAATTTTCATTTCTTAATTGGATTTCTCCATCAAAAGCAGTTCGCCACTTAAAAAATAAAAATATTAAAAATTTTTTTTTTTAATCCAAAACAGAATTTTATTCTAAACATAATTTCTAAAAAAAAAAGTTTGTATTTTTTTGTTAAAGTAAATATTGGTGCTAAAAATAAAACTTGGTGTAAAAAAAATAACAAAACTATCTGAAGTTTTTTATGTTATAAAAATTCAACAACCAAAGTTGTAGAAATGCTGTTAAAGAGAAATAAGAAATTAAAGTTCTTTCTATGTAAAATTACATAAAGTTCTATGATGTCTGGGTTCTAACATTTGTTTTAATACAAGTGTTTAAATATTTTCTTAAATGGTTTAAATATTACAGTAATATGACAGAAAAAATATGAAATAATAATAATAATAATAATAACATAGATAGAAACATGAAAGTTTCAGAACGACTCTGATTTCAAAATAAATATATTTAAGAATTATAAATATAGATATACTTTTTGAAATTTTATTTCATTAAATTCATCTCCCTAATGCTCCAGTGAGTCCAGTCAAAAAGTCTACTCAATTTTTTTTTTTTTTTTGCAGTTTTAAACTCTCTCAACCATTAATAGGCACAGGGTGGATTTGAACCTCAAACTCTCTCTCAGTCATTAAGAGGCATAAGGTAGAATTAAACCTCAAACTTTCTCTCAACCATTAAGATTTATAGGTGGGTGGATAATGGGTGGATTAGAGTGGGTTTAAACCTTAAACTTTTATATTGTGGTCCTAGCACTAATCTAATACTGTTAAAAATATAAACTTAGATTCGGACTTTAACCACACTCAGTCTCAGATTGGGTTTTGACATGGTTGGGTTTTGATATTTGATTTGATTTTAACAAGAATATATTAAAACATAATAAAAAAGAAGCTTTTTACTAAAACATTACCAAATATGTATTAACTAATCCTGTTTCTTATGTTTTAATAGACTTTTTGATAAACTTTCAAAAAAGAAAATTTTTTAAATCTAAAATTATAATTTTATAGCATTTATAAATAGATATTAATAGATATTTTTACTAATAGTTATTAATATCTAATTCTTTTTATATTTTTAATTATATAAAAAGTATATTTCTAAACTTTAGTTGTAAAATTTCTATTACACATTTGATAAAACCTCACTTTTGATAGGGCCACTTTTTTCACAACTGTGTTGCAGTTATTTTTCTAAAACTAAAGTACAGCAACAGCTGTTTATATTCTACTAATCTTTTTTATATTTTCACTTTCAAACACTAAAAAAAGTCCGCTCACCTGCTCAATAGTAACACTTTGTGGTTTAACACAAGAAACATTAGATAAACCCATACTTGGGACTTCAACATACTGCACAAACTTTTCCTCTTCATTTAACATGTGAACAAGTTGATTTTCTGAGTTGTTGCACAAATTATCTAACAGCACTAATTCTTTACGCTGCCATGAACAACAATTGACCACTATGTTATGCGCTCCGTTATCATGATGAATACTCTTATCACTTTCATTTCTTTCATTCTGAAAAAAAATAAACAGATTTGCTAAAATATTGATTTTTATGAAATTTAAAATACGAAGTAACAAAATAAAAATGTTTCAAAAATATGACACACCGTGTGTATAATATTCTTTAAAAGCATGGGAACTAATTCACTTTTCGAAAGTACAACTAAAATAAATTTATTGATGTTGTTGAAAAAAAAAGCAATTTTATATTTATTCTAATTATTCTAATTTATTCTAATATATATAAATCTCCAATAAAATTCAATTTTATAAGAGATAAAAGATTAAGAAGAGCTAGCAACATTGTCACAACCTGCAGAGAATGTTCACTAAAGAAAATGCCAAATTTTGAACATGTTATTTAAAAATAATAGTTAGAAAATCTTAATAATGTTAGACAAAATTACTATTATTATTTTTAAAAACTTAAAACGAATTTGTTTAAATATTTTTTGTTAAATTGATAAAGTGTTGGTGAAAAGACACACACTAAATTACTGGTATGTTCGGTTATGAATGTATGCATGTTCTGGCATACATACGTATGTAAATTACTGATATGTATGTAAATTACTGGTAGGTTCTGGTATGTATGTATGTATGTATGTATGTATGTATGTATGTATGTATGTATGTATGTATGTATGTATGTAAATTGATTTTAAAAATAGTGTTTACATTGTTTCACAAATTAAAAATAAAAAAGATAAAGTTAATACAAACTTTAAATAGCAAAAATTGCATAAAAAAGTAAAAATTAATTGCCTTCATAAAGCTTTTCAGTATCTTCATAAACCTGAAATTAAGATAATATATAATTACTTCAACAAATATTAAACTAGACACCAGACTCTGAAGTTTTCAAAGTGCTTTTTTTTACCCAGACTTTTAAATCATTGAAGTACAAAATACCTCCATAAGAAAAAATAACAAAACTTTCAAGATATTTATTTCTAGCATTTTTTCACCTGGAACCCTGAAGTATCAAATCCTAATAACTCTAATATGACTGCAGATTAAAACTGATTCTTTTCTAGAGAACTCTGGAGCTCTAACTTATTTAAGCATTTGTGATATCTGGACTCTATCTAGACAGACTCTAATTAAGAGTCCAGAAGTCACAAAATACTTTGGAACTCAATAACTCACATCCTTATTTACTTTTCATTGTCCAAAACTCATATTTTACATTTTTTTATAATATATTTAAGAACTTTTTATAGTATATACTTTTTATAGTCTTTTTTTAATTTGTCAGAAAAAATAATAAACAATATTATTCAATCCAGTATATTTGCAGCAATGCTCATACTTTATCAAACAAGTAAAACAGTGCTTCACATATTAGCATAAAACAAAACAAACTAGCAGTTTTATTTGAAAATATTATTGAACATCTCCTAATCTTCATACCACAATTCATTATGTCGCTGTTCATTATGTCAACAATTTTTTGTCAATTGTCACCATCCCCTGTGTCAACAACTTGTCAAACCTCTAGAGACCCTCCTATACAATTGCATTTACATTTGATCACCCCCACTTCCCTCAAATAAAATTAAAATTTAAAAAAAACATTTTTTTTCCCCCTTTTTTTAAGTAATTAAATTTATTAAAAAAAGTAACATTGCTGATATCAACTTTTCTTGATCTCCCTCACCCCTTTGTCAACAATTGTTGACATAATTAATGGACAGTCTCATAAGTCATAAAATGAATAATAATAATAATTATAAAGAAAAGTCTTGATGCTGTTAAACAGCCAACATACTAATTACATAAACATACACATTGTATGGAAGTCCCTGGTAGAACATCGTGAAACTGATTTAATAGCACATTTTTCCAGCATAGATGAAGTGTTTCAGTGATTTCTGTTAGATATAGATTATTTTTTGATTTATCTAAAAGTATACAGGAAAGTGCATAAACATTTTTTATGTATGGTATATAACAATTTTTACATTTTACATTTTTACTAAAACATAAGGGACAAAAATGATTTTTTTATTTGTAATCAGTCCTGTCTTTAAGTCATCCTGGTCCCCCAGCAAATTAATGGATGCGGCCTATCCAGCCTCTACCTTTCTTCTTCCCCACCTTCAAAAAAAAGAAAAAAAGTTTGCAATTCAACATGAATTTTTTTTCTTTGTATTTGACATATATTTAAAACACTTCTTTTATATATATATATATATACTTTTTAAGTGCCCCAAGAAGTCCTTACCGCCTTATCACAGAGCACAGTGAAAGAGTATGACTTTTTTTTCTTTGTATTTGACATATATTTTAAACACTTCTTTTATATATATATATATATATATATATATATATATATATATATATATATATATATATATATATATATATATATATATATATATATATATATATATATATATATATATATACTTTTTAAGTGCCCCAAGAAGTCCTTATGGTCTTATCACAGAGCATCATGGGAGAAATTTAAATGGTAGTTCACGCCTCCTTCCTTGCTAACATTATATAACTTGCCCAGAAGTGTGTATTTGTACATACACAATACAATGTATTTGTTTCAATTAAATAACTTTGTTAATCATGTCTTATGATTTATATTGCTGCAAAGCATTAGTTACTTTTAAACAATACTTTTAAACAATAAATACAAAATGCCAACACAAATTAATTGGTATTTTTGATGAGCTATAGAAAGTAACTGATTGGGGCTTCAGTCCTAAGCAAAATTTTCTCTTTGAAACAAAGATCAGTAATAAACGTGCTTAAATATAATTCAAAATCAATTAAGCTAAACCCAAGTAGAAGCCTTAATTTTATAATCTATTTATACCTTAATTATATATACACCTAAATTCTCTATGTACCTAAATTCTATGAGCTAAAATTATATATGTACCCAGCTAAATGCTAATAATTTTTAATACAATCAGTTTCTAAAGATTGTCTAAAATTTTAGTAATCTTAGAGGTAATGGAAACACAACTTTTTTTTTTAAACTAGAAAAACTATATTAGAAGACTTATTTCAAGTATACTTAAAAAATTATTGAGTGATAAAATCAATTATTATATCAAAACAAAACATGAATTATATTATTAAATGTTTTTAAGCTAGTTAAAAGGAAACATGTCTGTCATTTAGATAAATAGATATTGACTTTTTTTTTTAATTAAAAAAAAAAAGTTAATATATTTTTTTTAATTAAAAAATAAAAACTAAAAACTGAATTTTTAAATTTCACTTCAGCAGCAAAAAATTAGAACAATTAATTAATAAATATTAGTTAATATAACTTAAATAGGTAGAAAATGCAAGGAGTGTACATACATAAACTGAGGTTTTATGCTTGGACAGGCAATCTATCAATTTAAAGAAAATTATTTCCTAAAATAGTTTTTTTAACTTTTTTTGTTCAGGTTTATTAGCATGGTGATTAGAAAATTAACAGATCAATAAAGTCCTTTTAGTTTTTTGAAATATAGTTTAAACATACTTTGATAACTTGTGAATCTTGATAATTGATAGATTTTTTGCAGTCTCGACAGCTCGCAGCATGCAAATATTGTATAGTCATATATTATCCTTATTTTATTTTGAATAAAGACTGCAACTATGATTTGAACCCTACAGCAATTTTTAATAAAACCTTATCAAAAGATTACACTTTCAGGTAAAAGAGCTGTCTCATCATAAACCAAACAGCAAGTCGTTGGCATGCATAGAATGATAATGACAATTAACAAATCAGCAGTTGCTTGAATATTTGTGAAGTCAGTGTTCAGACAACAATAAAAAGCTATTTATCAGCCGGTTATGTCGATGATAAACCTCGCATTGGGCATCCAAAAAAACTGTCAGCGCATAACAAAAACACTCTTTGCATGCTAAGAAGGCGTAATAAAATATACAAAAGAAGATTAAACTAGCATGGGTATTGTGACATTGGAAAATGGGCTTATCCCTAACTTCAATTTATTTGAGGCTGATCAAAACTGGTTATTTCAACAAAACAATGTCAGGCTCTATTTCATTCAAAGTAATATTCAACTTATGCCCTGGCCACAATCACCTGATAGAACGTTTATGAAGCTGGATGGACTATCAACTAACAAAAAAACAAATAACTAGTCATGAAACACAAAAAATAACTAAAATCAATCAAAATGATTGAAAACCTTATTGAATCAAGGCCAAGGCAAGAATGTATCAAAAACAACAGGGTTCATAAAGAATGTATCAAAAACAACAGGGTTCATAAAATAAAAGGCTAATATTCTTTCTGCATAGTCATTAACACATATAATTAATTTTGAAAATCTTAAAAATAGATCTAACGTCTCACTGGCATTTCCCTTGATCCACTTCTTTACATCTCAAACAGGAAGCTTGAACAGGATGCAGCTCTGGGAACCTACTAGTTCAGTAAGCTCTGTTGCAATAAACAGTAGCTTTGGTTTCCTCATATAAAACTGCTCAGGGTCATCATACTTGACCAACACTTCCAACATTTTTTTTTACCTTCTTGTTAACATGATTGTTAGCTAGGACCAGTATAATTAACTGTTCAGTTAAATACCAAGTATACTGCTGCATGCTGACAAGACGGGCTTATCCTAGTTTTAGGTATAAGTCTCTTATTTCAAACGATGACTTAAAGACAACAAAGCCGTATGAAGTTGACTTGTTCACCATATAGCTTTTAAAAACCAAGGTCTGAAAATAGTTAATCACTATGAAGTTGAGTCATATAGTTAGTCAATAGTTTTCACCATATAGTTGACTTGTTCATTGTATAGCTTTTAAAAACCAAGGTCTGTAGCATATAGAAACAAATAAAACCTAACAAATATATCTAAGAACAATTCCAATGCTGGTGACCTGGTTTATGGGCAACTGATTGATAGGATACTTTAAAAGAAACAGTATCTTTCTGGGACTAGTCTGCAATGATCTCTTTTCTTGTTTATTCATATATTTCTTACAAAGACAACCCGTATTAGAAAATACTATGAAATAATAAATTATATAACATACATTTATTTATTCATATTATCATCTCAAAAGTCTCAAAAACATGTGACCAAACTGAGCAATTGACCATGTGACCAAACTGAGCAATTAAAATTTTAAATCTTTTAATTGATCAACAGCAAGTTAAGTCAGCTTTTTTGTCAGCTTTTTTTAATAAGTATAATGCTTATAAACATATCAAGGTTCAGATTTTGTTAAAGATAAAATAAGCAATGACACATGTTTTGCATAAAATGAGCACAATTTTATTATACCGGAATTCTCAGGCTTATTTGATGCATGAAAATTATTGAATGAAGTTATTGTTTTTTTGGGGGGCTAAACAAAAAAATGTATGTATCAAAACAGAAAGTTTTTTGTCTTTTCTACAAAACATAAAAAAAAGTCAACATTTTTGTAAGTTTAAGCGGGTTTGTGAGCCTCTTTAAACTTTGAGTATGTATACCCAAACCTGTTTCAAAAGTAAAAATATATAAAAATGCATCAGACTAATGATATTATTCAACTTAGGCATAATCAATAAGTTTAATATTTAGAAAAAAATTTCCTTTCAATCCCAAATTGAAGCAATTTTTTTAAAGGATTCAATTTTGTTAAGTTTTACAGATCACTTGACTACACAGTTCTTTTTTTGTTGCTGTTGATTTTTAACCTTCAGGGACTTCAGAGAATGGAAAAAACTGGAGAGGTATCATGGGGGGAAAAAATGTTCTATGTTTCTATGTTTTGGGACACCCTAATAAACACAATCATCACTATAATAAAAATTAAACATCACTTTTCTTTAAAAAACATCACCTTTCTTTAAAAAAAACTTACTTCAGATAAAATGCTAAAATTTGTGTCTAATCTTCAAAGGAAAAAGAAAAAAAGGAAAAAAAATCGATCAGATCCAGTTTTTTACCTGAGCTGTGGAGAAATGCCCAAACTTGTGAAAATTCTAAATTATGTAAGAGTACTTCACATTTCCTGTTTCTTTTTTTTATCTAAAGTAAAACAGATATGGTAATACATAAATACTTGATGGCACACATACTTTTACTTTATTATGTATTTACATTTTTATTTAGGAAAAACAAACCAATAAATGAACTCAATACTACTAAAGAAAACCTTTATTAAATATTAGTAAAACCTTTAAAGTTTTTGTAAATTTTTTTGGTGATATTTAATGTATAATGCAGTAGTAGTGTAGCGGTAGAGTGCTTGCCTCATAAGCAAGAAGTTTGGTAATCAATCCCCATCCACATCCTTGCCGCCTTGCTCATCAAGGTTCATGTTTCAGAGTTATAGAGTAAATGCACGTATTTATATACAAATGTCTTTATGTACTTAGCCTTGCAAAAAATGTCATTGATAATATCATGCTGAAATTAAGAACTGCAGGCCTTATGCACATACATCCACTGAGGCACTTTAAGCGAATTTTATTATATAACAACAACAACAAAAAAACTTTTTTCCATAACCTTCATTTTTTTTTTCCCTGAAAAAACTGTTTGGATTTATATTAGCATTTTTAAACAAACATGTATTTATGTATATAAATCTGAGCCAACTCAATCAAAAAGACCAAAAGAGGCCTCAGTACTAATTTTCTTGAAAATTAAGTCCTGATCATATCGTTAAAAAGATACTTTATTAAGATAGGTAAGACTCTTAAAGAAAATTTTAAATTTGATAAGAATAGGAAGAACTAGCAAACCATGTGTAGTAATTTTCCTGGTGTAGTTAAATAATTTAAATACTCCATTCTAATTTTTAAAGCAGGTATATGCCAGGAATGACTTTCTATTATAAAAAACTGCTTCAACTCTCCCATAATGCCATATTCAAATGAAAAAATAGTATTATATAAATCCATCCAAACCACACAAAAGTGGATCTATGGATTACTATTCATTTTGTATTTAGTGCTGGGATAAGTTTTTCTAAATTTTGCTATTGTAGCAAAAAACAGACAAATGGGAGGTCATTGTGTGTGTGTTACACAACATACTATCAGCCATTACACAATAACTTTAAATATGAAAAATGTCCAAGTTAGTGTTTAACTAAACATTGTAGTGATTTTCAATAGCATTGTTCAAACTTAATTTTAACCTCATAATGTTGTAAAAAATAAATAGTTTGTTTAACTTATTCCGCATATTTAATTAATAACTAATATAAAACTTACTCAATTATCATAATCTAATGGAAATATAAGCTAATAAATATTAGGCATACTAATACTATTTACGCTAATAAATATTAGACATATTAATACTATTTACGCTAATAAATACAAGACATACTAATGCTTGTGTTGTAAAAGTTCCTTGATGAAGTTCCAAATACAACTCCCCCACCCATGTTTGAAGATTCTTTTGGCAATTTTCCAGACTCTCAAAAAATCGTGTAGGATTAGAATTAACAACTCTAAATAAAAATATTTTATTAACACTATATTGGTAATATTAATGCCTATAACTAAAGCCAGAATGCAAATTCATCTCAATCCGACTAAACTTACGCTCAACTTTAAAGTAGAATAAGTAAAACGATTAAAAAAATTACCGTGGTTGATCAAAACTACTCATTCTTTCAATATTTTCAATCATATCTTCCCTAAATAACAAGTTTTAAATATGCAGTAAATCATATATAAATATATATAAATATGAATACATACATACAAACATGCATATTTGCATCTATATTTGCATCCATCCATCCATCAATCCATACATAACATGCATACATACATACATACATACATACATACATACATACATACATACATACATACATACATACATACATACATACATACATACATACATACATACATACATACATACATACATACATACATACATACATGCATGTACATAAGTATATATTTGCATCCATCCATCCATCAATCCATACATAACATACATAACATACATACATACATACATACATACATACATACATACATACATACATACATACATACATACATACATACATACATACATACATACATACATACATACATACATACATACATATATACATACATTCATACATACATACATCAAATCAATAATTATATATCTTTTTTAAATAAGACAGGTAGAAGTTAAACTACATTTTTTTAATAAAAAGGTAATGAAAATTTAAATACATACGTAGGCCCACCACCGCCATCGCCATAACCATATAGCAACATAGCGTCACAAACTACTCCTGGATCTTTGTTTTGGGACTTTGTTTTTAAAATCTAAAAATTTAATAAGAAATTGGTATTTTTTATTACATGTGTTTGTCATTAAATAAATATTATAAAAGACGATGTAGATCACACACTACACAATATACATTTTGTTTTAAAGCATTATTCTGTATGCATTTTATGTATGAAAGTTGTGTATATAATATTAATATTTAAATAAATATGAAGATATTGTTTATGCAGTTTGTTAAATAAAATAAAGTTTAGAAAAACAAAGTCAACTATTACAAAATTTTGATGACAACTAAGTAATACAGGTTATCAGGGTGTTAGCCAGCCTGATGGCACTACATGTAACACAGAATTCCCAATAGGTTCAAAAGATATATAGTAGTAAAATGAGTAAAACAAAGAAAATATATATACTCCGACTTTTATTCAGATTTTATGGTGTTATGCGTCATTGATTTTTTTTATTTATTGGTGTTGATGTTTAGAAAATGTAAAAGTACGCACAACCTAGAAATAAATCAAGTTGATTTTTAAATATGTTACACTTTATTTTTTTGAATATAAATAAACAGCAACAGAAAAAAAAACTTGTTGATTATTTTAATTTAATAAACAAAATGTAAACAAAAATAAATAAAAAATAATTTAAAATTTAGCAAACTCTAATACTTATTTAGACTTAGTTTCATATACTTATTCTTATGTTCAGGTTTGGAAGCTACAGAAACAGTTATTCTATGTAGTTATAAGCTCTCAACTTTTCTAAACTTTTGATGCAAAATTTGCTGTAAGATTTGAAATATAAATTTTTTAAATTACAGAAATCAATTCCCATTTGGCATAATAAGTGTTTAATTTTGATATGATTGATTTTAATACTTGAAATGCAGCATTTATTACAAGTATATACACTAGCCTGTATAAAATATATATAGTAAAAATATAGTTTGTGCATATAAATTCAGAAAACATATAGTAAATATTTGAAATTAAATATACTTATTATATGAGAGGACTCAACCCTCGGAATTGGGTTTGGCAGTGCCAATCTAACTGCTGACTTTAAAGTGTTTGAGGTCGGCAAATAATTGCCAACCTCATTTCTATGTTTTATGGTAAGACCTTTGTATCAAATTTTTTTTGCCGACCTAATGCTGACCTCTAAAAGATTAAGGTCGGCAAATTATTGTTGACCTCCGAGGGTTGGAGGAATTTATATATACTAATTTATTTAGACTTTTATTATTAAATATTTTTTTCACAATAATAAAATTTATTATTGTGAAAAAAACTGGCACGAAAAATTATGGCATAAAAAAATCATTTAGTAAGTAAATAACATGCACAATTTAAAAAATAAATATATGAATAATAAACTTACATCTTTATATCCAGCTGATGATTCATATGTGTCAGCAGGAGGAAAGTGAGTGAGGCATCTTAATATACAAAAGTAAGACATTTTAAAGTACAAAATTTAGTAAGACATCTTAATAAATAAAAATAAATGAGAAATCAATCACTTGAGTATATAAACTAACATTTTTATGAATAAAGTATTCACAGCTTTTTAATTACACAAAACATACTTAGATCCATCTATTCCTTGCCATATAAATGAGCTGTGCTGAAATGTATTCACATAAACATATGTAAATTTATATATATATACATACATATATATATATATATATATATATATATATATATATATATATATATATACATACATATATATATATATATATATATATATATATATATATATACATATATAAATATACATATATATATATATATATATATATATATATATATATATATACATACATAAATATATATATATATATATATATATATATATATATATATATATATATATATATATATATATATATATATATATATATATATATATATATGTATATATATTAGAGTTATGGCTTTTCAACTTTTTGTAAAATAATTAATGTTCTGTGTCATAAATCGATTAACTTTTGCTCAAACTGGATGGAACTTACTAGAATTTCTGGATTGTTCTAGATATTCTTACATATCTCTGAAACTCTACAGAATTTTCTGGCGCCTTCTATAAATTTATAGAAATTAACAAGATTTAGACTATATAAGCTGCCTGATTGAGCAATGCCAATAACTGCATATGAATCTGTATTTGCCAGATGGCAGTCAAATAATATAGAAATACAATAGCACTTATATTTATTATTATTGCTTTTCGGAAATATATTTAAGTTTTATCTTCAATCATGTGCTTCCACAACTGAAAGAAACAAGTTGATCTGGATGAAGAATCTTGTACAACTTTATTAGTCACATAGGAAAAGAAGAACTGTTTTGCTTAAAAAAACAATCAATTGAATATAATAGCAGGAACCACTCAAAATCCATATTGTCAGTCGCTATCTGTCCCTGGGAGAACCTATCAAAGGGAGACAAGAACACATAAAGAAAGAAGTAACAAGTTATGGCAAAAGAAATTGAACTTTACACATTTGTCAATTCAAATTGTACAGGCAAAACTAGATTAAGTGCTGAAGGCCAACGATAAATGAGTAAAATAAATAAAATACAATCCATTGAATAAAGTTTTTGACATCATAAAAAAAGATGGTGAATGGCTCTGCAATGATGCCAAATAATTGTATCATCTTAAGATTCAAAGCAAACAATAGGTCGGGTTTACAACTGGGAAGGCTGCTAGTTCAAAAACTATCCATCCAAAAGAAGAAAAATATACTTGAAGCCTACTTCAAACAGTAACGGCAACAGCAACAATATCAACTTCCGAATCTGAGTCTGAGGCAGAATATCAAGAGTCTAAAGATTCAGAAGAATAGACCACAAGTACACACAAGAACACACAAACCACAAGTACCAATAAAAGCTAAAGCAAAACCAAAACTCCAACCAAATTAGTAACAACTTCAAAGTTATCAACTAGCAAAGCAGCAACCATTTGATAATAGTTATCTAAAGATGGGATCAATACTCAGACACCTTCACAGTCTAGTATATTCAAATCAACTATTAAAGAAGCTGTTAAACTTAAAGAAATGTAAAAAACATTACATTTAGAAAGCTGGCTACTGCACTTTGATGGAATTGTCACCGAGAATATCAAGTGTTAGTGTTAAAGAATAAACAAAGAGAAGTTAAGATACATGTACAAGATCTACAAGAGGGAAAAGCAAATACTGTTGTTAAAAGTGTAACAGAAAATCTTGATGAATACAATTTATGGAAGTGTATAAAGATGATTGTAGTGGACACTACAAATGTAAACACTGAAAGAAAGAAATGGGATTGTCAGTCAGTTACAAAGTTGTTTTTAAGTTGTTCAGTTTCTTTACATTTAAAAAAAAAAAAAAATG